TCTTTCTGAAAGGTGTTTGGAGGATTTGAAAAGGGGGAAAGCTAATGATTATGTTCCCTGAGCTCCACAGATATTAACTGACACCTCTCAAATTTGGCAGTGATGCAGTGAAAGGCTAGTTTGTAGCTGTTTATCGCATTATGTCATCCCCGTTTTGTCACTTTTGCTGATGAACTGGAGCAGGAAGCAGGCAAAATAATTGTCATTCCCTCTGAAGCTCGGTGGCTTTCCCTCACCTGAGTCTTCCTGATGAGAGACTGCAGAGCTGGACAGGCAGGACAAATAGCTGCAGCAGTGATTTGGCACCGCATCCCTAAAGAAGCAAAGCAGCACAATGCAAATCTTCCTCCCGGTTTCTGCAGGTAGGCGATCTGTCATAACGAAGTAGCGGCCGGTACTGAGTGGGAAATCGTAGAAAATCGACAGAATAAGACGGACTTTAATTAGAGTTGGCTTCCCTGTGGAGGTAGAAACACCGAGACACGATTTGCTGGAGGAACCTTGAATAAATCAGAAAGCCCGTGGTTAGACAAGGGTCAAGAACATTTCGGGAAACACAGATACTAAGTTTATTAAAACTTCTGTTTCGCCGTTGTCAGGGGGCAAAAATTCTCCCGCTGTGACTTTGATGGAGCGTGACCAACTAGGAGAAGAGGAACCTGAGGAAACGACTAAGCTCAAACACAGCTTGGATACTCGGCTGCCTGAAGCAAAATCCCGACTAAGATGGATGGATGGATTTTTCAGTGGAAGTAGTTCAACAGGTAAACCCTTTTATTCATTCTAAGTTCACACTTTTCTGAAAATATCAACTGACATAAGACATACGACACAAAGGCAACAAGAGCCATGGTTCTGCTCGAGGTTTCTGCCTGTTAAAAGGAAGTTTTTCCTTGCCTGTGTCGCCTAGTGCTTGCTCATGGTGGGAATTGTTGGGTTTCTGTAATTAACTTCAGAGTAGGGTCTGACCTGCTCTGTTTGGAAAGCTGTGAGACAACTGTTGTGATATGGCGCTTTAGAAATAAAATTGAATCGAATTGAAAGTGTTCCAATCAAAATGGGCCTTCTGAGTGAGGACTTCCTCTCAGATCACTGTTCATTGGTTTGATTTGCACACAACAGCTGTGACTGTCAATATGGGGAAGCATCTGCTGAAGATGAAAAATTTAAGGCGGCAGTGTCTTTAATCTATCCGAGACTTTTGTCAGCTGCTCAGCTTACAATTGTTATCATTCAGACAAATACACACAGATGTAAGCAAGCATCCTCACAACACCCCGAGGAGGAAAACAGAGCATCATAGCAGCCGACTTAAACGGAAAGATGGGAGACGTGGAGTGCATATGCAAAAAGAAATCCTCAGCTCTGTGCGTTTTTGAGTAATCACAGAGCACTGACAAAAACGGGATCAGGCAGGGATATTCACGCTGAATTAAAGTGAATGTTTCCCGAACACCTGTCCTTTGTGCTACTTGTGTGTTTGTTATGCGGGCCGGAATAAAGCGTTACCTGACTCTAATTCTGACTGGTGGAGCACATGAGGAATGAGGGGGGGGGGGTTTGAAGTCACGCCTCTCCGCTCTGACCTTGTTTACGGCCCTTATAGCATCTGCTGTAGGGTGACCTGAAAAGATGGAAGACAGCCTCAGACATCCTTTATGACGAAACAACATTTCCCAATTTCAGGATTAAAAGTTACGTTTTTTTCGTCGACACAAGGTCTATTCAGGGACTTCAGAAAGCCACAGGAAAAAAGACTGCCTCAGATTGTGCGTGGGCTGGTTATATAAAGGCTCTTCTTTGCTACTGAATATCAGGTGAAACTAAAAACCAGTTGTGAGTTATGAAGTGTACAGTATACATATAGTTTCACAAATTTATGTTGATAATAAAGACAAAATAAGTTACTGTATAATTGCTGTATAATAGGTTAAGACAATAGGGACCCATTGGTAATATCCACAGCTGTATGTAAATATTTAACTACAAATTTCTATTAATGAAACTATCTGATAACATACAAAATGTCCAAGTGAGAATAATAATAATTATAAGCAACTTCCAACCTTACCTGTAGAACTGAGGGATGATTTGCATCAAATCAGTAAACTGCTGATCCCCATTTATTATTATTATTGGCTGAATGATCTCTGCTACATTTTGAGCAGTAGATTTTTTTTACATTCTGCAAAAATGAAAAAGAAAACTCATCTTTCGAGGCATACAATGCAGTCTTTTAACCTTGTCTGCATGCTTGTGTTTGACAAAACAGCAGTTCTGAAAGAATGTGCTGCTCAGACAGGTGGAAATCTACATCCTGGACTTCAGCCGACAAATCACAGAGAGCTACAAAAACATGGGAGGCGTTGTCAGAAATTTGGCATAAGAGTAAAAGAGTTTATGCATCGAAAAAGGTGGCAAACCAGGTCATAAAGTACACTTATAAAATGACTATGAATGCTTATGAAAGCCATCTTGCACAGTGTTTCCACCCCGGTAAACAAGACAAAAGAAGTGGTTGTGAAAGGTGAGAGCAAATAATTTTCCAGGAAATCACCAACTCCTCTGCAGTGGAGTCCATTCTGATCATCAAGTCTGAATAATCACTCTCCATCTCTTCTGTTTTTTTGGGGGGGTTTTTTGTATCTCATCACCTAAAACACATTAAAACATCTGATGGACATTATCTAGTTTTTAAACTTATCTGGCTCTTGGTTTTCAGGTCTGGACTAAATCACTCTGACAAACATAGCATCTCCAGTGTGCCGTAAATCATCGCAGGATACAGTTCTGGCTCCATCAGCAGGACCTCGTCTGAATGGATCAGCTGCTGTCAACTCAGGGGAAAAATCCATCGGCCTTCTGCGATACCGTTTGCTGTTCTGCAAAATGACAGATACTCTCAAATTGTTAGGTTGACCAATTTGCTAATCAAGCCTGGTGGCAGTGACCCCAGCAAAAGTCTTGGAGATGATATTATCTTTGAAGTACAGCGTGTATAAAAATGAATTTGGACACAATAATATTTTACGGTGGGGGGAGAGAGCACCTTAACAGTGTTGAGTGGGAGTCTTTCTCCACCAAAGCTCTTTTCAATTCACCGTAGAGACATAGAGTAAAAATCATGTTTAACAACCACTCATTCCTCTCCAACTTACTAAATTCAGGACAGATTTATTTCATGCAGAGACATCTGAGAAACCACTCTGTTCTTACCTCGCAAAGCATCAATTACATGCAAAATATAATCCATCATCTCTGTCTGAATGGGAGTGGCGAGCTAAGGCTTTTCCAAAGAGCATCACTGCCATCTAGTGGCTTTTCTGAGCAACAGCAGCAAGGCCTGCAGTCCTCCATTTAATGTCTCCCAGATTCAAAGGTAAAAATGGGTCATAGATTATGTACAGGTACTTCTAGATACTCAATTTACATGAACAGATAGATAGATAGATAGATAGATAGATAGATAGATAGATAGATAGATCCGTACTATCTATCCGTACCGTTGTTCGTCCGTTGCAGCGATACTTCAACCAGTCCGCCATCTTGGATGTGGCAGAACTGCCCGTAAATAAAATTAAATAAAACGGACTGAACTCACAAACAAACAAAGTGTTTTAAGTTAATGCACCTTATTCACCCATTCACACACACACTAATATATCTGGTAAATAAATAGGCACAAAAAAAAACGTACGTAACTTTAAAAGTGATGATTATACACTTTTACTCTTGATGTTTAGGATATAAGAAGGCACCAAACCAGCGTCTTTTTTTTATCCCTCTTTTGACGAAAATGTTCAAGTTCGGGGTCAGTCACACTCCAAGAATTCAGAGAGCAACATTTAAAATGTCACCTGCACCTTACAAATGTCTGCATATTTATGTAGATGCTGATGAAGGAACCATCACCAGCCACCAGGGGGATGTGGTCATGTGTCCTGTCACTTGGGCCCAGTTGTCTTGTGCAACATGATTCTTTCAAATTGATATTTCAACATGTTTTTGCTTGAAAAGTGAAAAAAAAAAACATAAAAATACATGCCTGCATTCAGACTGGGGTGGGCAGTGAAGGGTCAGAATGGCCATAAATCAGAGTTAAACATATGATTTCTTCATTTTTAAACAAGCTTTTGAATGCAGCACATGTTTTTTACAAGGCTTATTTGAGTCTTAGAAGAAAGATAACATACATTATATGGCAAAGTTCGTTATTTCTGCTGCTTGCACTGAAGACAGCTTTATGGTTGCACCCAACTTCAACTGGAGGATTTTTGCTTTGTACCTCAACACATACGGTAGAAACAGACAATGATAAAGACCAGCTTTATTTTCATCTTACAATACTAGATACAATAAAGGCTTTAAAAAAAGAAAAAGAAATCACACGGCTGATCAATCTACCAGCTGAAAGTCTTTTCAGATAGATACATTTCTGTAAGGCAAACGTGGCAACAAACACAGTTGTAATCATTTCAACAAAAATGAGTTTTTCCCTTTCATGTTGCTGTGCAGAACTGTTACCAAAAAGGGGCTGAAAATGGACTATATCTCCTTATGAGAAACCAAGCCAGCAACTATTGCTCTAGCTCTTTATTTTTCCTTCTGTAAAACATGAACATGTTTTCACATGAATATATTTTATCTATAAAAAGCATACTCCAACTTTGAAATATAGTTCTTGAAAACTGATTGTAAATTGGCTGAGATGAGGTGAAGTATTTCAAATTTACACATAAACAGCTCAATCAAACAGGGACAATCAACTACATCATTTCCAATTATCTTACGAAGTTTTTCACTTTCTTTTTTCACAGCAAAACTTTCAGTTAGGGTAAAGTTCCACGCGCTGCTTGTTGAACAGTTACTCTACTATATGATTCTCAGCTGCAATGTTACATCCACGATAGACAACAAATAATATAAACCTTTTTTACTCTACTGTTAGAACCTGTCTCTGTAAATATCTGCTCTCCAGAGCTCCTCTGACCCTCAGTCTCTCATAGAGACGAGTAGTTAGCTCTGCTGTAGCCGGCATTTAAATCGTAGTTGACCTGAGGTATGGAGCAGTCTGTGAAGAAGTTTGGGAAAGCCAAAGTGCACAGTGCGTTGTCGTCCATGGGCCCAGAGGCCTCCTCAGACTGACAGTACAGGGGGGGCTGTGTGGAGCCTGAACGCAGCGTCTCCCCTTGTTTCTTAGGAGCTCCTGAGCAGCTAGTCCAGGGTTCAGAATACAGGAGACCGCCAACTAAATGGTGGGAATCGTAGGACGCGGGATCTGGGCCTCCGAACTCTGGCTGCACCCGCACAGACATGCCCTGATAAAGGTCTTGGTCGCCTATCATGTTGCTGTAATCGGGTCCCAGGAGCTCAAAGAACTCGGCGTTCTCGGGGTTGCCTCGCTCCAGGTCCTTCAGCGTCATCCCGGACGTGGAGCTGACTTTGGAGCAGTTGGCAGGCTCTGTGAAGAAAGATGGCGGCAGATTGCGGTGCCTCAGGGGTGGCTTCTTGCCTTTCTCACCCCTTACATCCTTCGCAGGGCTGAAGAGAGCCGCCAGGCTCTTGCTCTGTAAGTTGGCCTGAACTCCATCCCGCTTAGGCAGAGTTTTGCTCTGCAAAGGGCTGGGCTGGGTCCCGGGGGACTCCTGTCTTCTCGCCGCGGTTTCTGCAGCGTTTCCCGGCGTTATAATGCCGGAGCAGCGTTTGATCTGCTTCTGCAGATACTTCCGGTGGTTAACTTTCCTTTTGGATTTCACTGGCTTGTCCAGGGCCAGTTTGATGTTGCTGGAGGCTGAGTCTATGAAGCTCAGCAAGTCCCTGGTGGTCTCTTTGAAGTCCTCGTAATTCTCTGCCTCCCCCAGAAGACTACCGTCCAGACTTTTCTCCACATCATACTCCATCACAGAAGCAGGGAAGCAGAAAGTCATGAACTGGGGGTTCATGATTGCAGTCTGAACAGCCATTACTGAGTTGAGCCCAGAGGCAACACCTGTGGCATCCACTGTGATCCCTGAACCCAAAATGTCTTCAGAGCATGACTTTTCTCCCTCCGATAAACTCTTGGTCCTGATGCTGCTCCCAAAGTTGCCGTAAACATTCCAGAGTAGAAGTGAAGAGCTCTGGGGAAAGCGAGGAGATCTTTCAGGGGGCCGGCCTAATGATGTCAGAACATCAAAGAGGAGGGGCAAGGGGGCCGCAAGACTTAACTCTTTGCTTGTGCCTGACCACCTGCAACTAAGAGGGATTTGTCTGAAATTCCCTGCTGAGCTGAAGACAAAAAACTCTGTCAGAACTCCTCTCTACTGGTTTAACTGTTTGCATGTGCTTTGAACCGCAGAGGCTTTGATGAAATGGGAGGATATTACTGTAACAGCGCGGAGAAAAGCCTTTAAAAACCTGGCCATGTGCAGAAGAACAGCCGTAATTAGAAAATAACTCAGTCATTAACTGAAAGCAAAACATAATCATCTGTCATAGATTATCAAACTAGACTTAAACCGAAAGATGGATCAAATACAATATCCCTTTTAGAGGTCCATTTCAAACACTTTTAGGCCAGTAAACTGCCATGCTTCTACTTTTCCTTTTCCTGTCTGTCTTGCAGAAAAAAAAAGGTTAATTTATAACTGAGTTACTTTTATTTATGTGCTCAGATTTGCACAGTCAAATCCCAGCCCTACAGTGGAGAGAAAGATTTCTTTTCTGTGGGAAAATCTCGGTGCCCAAACAGATGCCAGTATTTGGGAGAATCTTCCCAACTGCTCGCTTGTGTCTTAATCTGCTCATGGCAAAAGTTGATTTCTAGTGCATTCCCAGGCCAGTGGGAATTTCTGCCCTGGCCTGACAACTATTATGGGCTGGCTTTGACATAAAGCCCTACAGGGTCTAAATAGCCTCTATTCTTCGTGCAGCACTGAAAGGGAGCTTTGTGCCAGAGATTCATTAAATTGCACCTCACAGCCCCTTCGTAAAATGGGTCTCAATAATGAACAGTCGATTTAACTAGAAAAGCTGCCGGAGCTGTTAAATTAAAGGGGAATAAAGTGCGGTTCAGGCTCAGTGTGCCAGAAGAAATGTTGACCTTAAGAAATCCTGGGTATGAAACGTCTGCTGTAAACAATAACGTATTTACAGGAAGTTCCTCGACCAGCAGTGAATACAAAGGAAGATGTGTCCAACAGCCACAGCATTAAGAGGCCAGAACTTGAGGGCAATACGGGGAATTTAACTCACATTTCAGCAACATTCAGAGTGACTGAACATGGTCAATGCCTCACAACTAAAAAATGTGTCACTCACTGTTCATCTATGGACATTTACTCTGTTTAAATCCATCCCCAGGATTTTATCTTATATTTTCTTCAATTTTTAAGTGATGACGGGGACAAACAAGTCAAATTACAATACAATAAGTTCCTTAAAATTATAAAAGACCAGTCTGAGAGATGAAAATGTCTGAGGAAAGTGGAACATTATTTTTTAATAATCATTCCTTGGAAATAAATAGTTGATGACATTGAAATCACTAATCATCTATGGGCCAATTAAAGACTATGGACTGATAAAATAAAAAAAAAGTAAGGCCTTTTTAGCATAACAACTGCTCACACATCAGAGTCTATCAACCACACTGCTTAGCCACCAAACAAAACTCTTTTAATACCTAAGAAAACATGCAAGTCCAGACACTGTTTGGTTAGAATAGAATCACTTCCATGTATCCGTTACAACTTATATTCAGGATTTAAAAGTAAAAAATGTGTACTCAAAGCTGTATTAGCTCAGAGTACATGTTAAAGAAGAAAACAGCCGCAGTCGTTTCACAGCATCTCCTGATTGGACGAGGGAGCTCTGAGCTCTCTTTACTGCAGCACGATTTGGCAACGTGACATCATCACAGCCTGTGCAGCCACATCCCCCTTTTCCCCTAGTCAGGGGGTCTTGGCTTTTGTACTGGTGGGTCATTCAAATCACAGAGCCTGACGCACAGATCCCGGAAACAAGTTTCCATTGTTGGATAAAGGCTGAGCGGGTGAGAGGGGATGGGCTGTTGCACTCCAACTCAAAAGCAAGAAACCGAGTGCACAGCGGAGGAGATTTAGACTTAGTTTTTAACCTCAAAGATTTGGGGGTTTAATTCCAGTTTCTGACCACCGCCAACCACAAATCATCACCGCACGGACTGCATGTGCTCAGATATGGAGGAAAAGGGTGGAAATAAATGGAGAGAGTCCTGTTACTATCACACTCTGTCCAAGAGAATTCACTTATTCAGCAGCACCCAGCCCCAGAGGAGTGAGACGGAGGGTGCTGACCGCAACACGATGTGACACGCACAGCCTTAATCTCTTCCTAATAGTGTGTGGTCCCCGTCTGAGCGGGGACACACTCAAGAGGGAGAGCCCGAGCGAATCACATTAACATCTCTGATTGATGACGACTGTCAGGGGCCTAAAGAAAAGGCCAGAAAAATGAATGACCTCTCCAAGTCCTGAGAACCGTTTAAGGGGGGGAATTTAGTGGCCGAGTCGCCGTCATTCTCCGTGTGTAGCTGCGTTAGTCTTTGATGAAGAGCGGAGCCTGTGACAAAAATGTTAAAAAAGCCAGGTTCTGTTTTTCTCAGAGAAATAAATAAGCTCACATTCTACAGCAGGACGTTTCCCGTCAGCTCCACGAGGTCAAGTCGGAGAAGTTAAAACGGGAGGGTGGAAACACTAAAAAGGAATGTGGGGCATAAAAAAAAAGGAGTGGCCAGAATAGTTTAGAGAGATTTATAAAGCTGGAAGATATGGTATCATTAGCATTTAAAATGTTTTTTTCTTTTCTATCTCAACATTCTCATGACATTAAACTCTTTTATCTTGACATTAAGGGAAATAAAAGTGACTTCCACGGGAGGTGCAAAAGGCCTAAAAACCCTGCTGATTTCTGTATCATCTCACCGGTTCACTCTTAACCTTCCATCAACCCCGTTCACCCTCCCAAACGCCACAGGAGTTGTATTAATAATATTACTTGCAGGGGGCAACAATCTGAATCTACGGGCCGCCTTGGTGCCACAGTTTAGAGCTTTAGTGGCAGCCAGTGAATTAATGCATCCCACAGGCTGGTCAAGGGGGGGTAAGGTCAGCAATAACCTCCCACCACTCACTTTATTGGCCTCCTCCGATTGGGGTTTTATTAAATCTCAAGCACATGCGATTGTTCTTGCCTGGTGAAAATGGAACTTCCAGGCCTAAATTTATCCGAGTCTGCTTAACAGAACAAAACTTCATCCATATCTGATCAAAGCACAATGCAAAGGAACATGTCGGTTAGCTTCTAAATACACAAGACTTATAGGGTGTAGAAAGAGATGTAATACCAGGTTAATACTGACAGTCCAAAGCAGGATGTAACAAATCTTCTGTGAAAAATAAATAATGTTTAACATCAAACTCGTTGAAGCGTATCGTTTCAAAACCAGACGTTTTTTATTTTTGGTGTCAAAAGTGTCTCCTGAGATTTAAATGTTAACACACACATGAACAATTCCCCTGAATAACAACAACAGGAACTAAATCTGAAAGAAGTTGAAAACCAGTCAACTGGTGTTTTCTTTTGGAGACATTTTGGTTTTATGATTGTTATTAATACTTTTAAATTACAAGACCAACCCTTGTTTTCACCAATCAAAGTCAAACTTTTTGTTTTGAAGCCCTTGAAAATGTATACTGCATGAACAAATGGAGTGTGCCCAAACAAATGATAGTTCCACATCAAACAGAACAACCTGAACAAGATAAAGTGACCCAGAGGGGACAAACTTTGGTGTTACAGTGCAGCGAGGACTGTGTCAAGTTAAAAAAGAACGATCAAACTGGATTTCATAAACGTCCACGTTAGACTAAATTCAGCCCTTTCTGGGGGAAGGTCCGGTTATCTTTTTAGCTTGGCTGATCCATTCCTTAAAAAGCGCCACCTCCATCCCCCGAGCGGCTCGGACTGAGGGTGGGTCCAGCTCATTACTGTATCGGAGGTCCAGGTGATGGGCTCCATCGGGAATCTGAATGGACACCAGAGAATTGTTGAAGTTGGACTTAACTCCTCCAGCCGACCAGGGGTCCAGTCCTCCGTTGCTGAAATTCAAAAAGAGATACGAGTACACTCAGAATTGTGCAGAGAAATTAAAATCTTTTTTAAAAGAATGTTTTTTTTTCAACAACAAAAACTGATACAACTCTTATAGATAACCCAACCTCCTCCATCTGTCTCTTCACCTCATTTAACTTTAGATGATGCTGCATTAAGAACCTCAGCAGTGGAAAGTTGCAACTTTGATTTCTGCTTTACTGTTAACATCAAATCTCAACATGAGTTATGTAGTTTAGTTTAGTTTAGTTTTATAAGGATCCCCATTAGCTGCCAAATAAATGGCCTATAGTCTTCCTGGTTTAGTTCACCTAAATTAAAAAATGTTCTCTTAGTACTTCCTACTTTAAGTATTTAAGAAAGTAGGAAGTACATTTCACTTGTTCATTTTAGTTAATCATAATACTGAACCTTTAGCCAATTTATTGTGAAACGTATTTACACATTTCACAACTTAAATATTTTTTTTCCACTGCTTCATCTTTTGGGAAATGGATCTTATCATTCTTGCTGCATTCAAATAATGTGAACAATGAAATCGTTTTATGTTTTTTCTGGGCCACAGGTGTCTGTCCTTCACAGTTCCACCACCGTTAGCCAGTCTTGGGAGAAAAAAGTCCTTTCTAACAATGACAACACATCCATCCTAGCTGTTGCTACCTGAAGATGATGTTGCTATGAGACGTGATCTCCTTTCCCCCGTAGACGGCCACGGCCCAGTCGGCCCGCGGCCTGACGCCAAACAGGGAGTTACACTCATCCGAGAAGGCCTGGAAGTTCCACTCCTCGGGTTCAAACATGTCCTGCACACCGTCCGTGCACATGGGCATCACCATCTCCGTGCAGGCCTAGAAGGAAGGACCATTCATTCAATTATCAATACCACACACAGAGACACACAAGGACCAACAACCACACACACTCACACTCACTCCTAAGGGCAATTTGGAATGTCCAACAACCTAACATGCAGGTTTTTGGACGGTGGGAGGAAGCCGGAGAGAACCCACAGACACAGGAGAACATGGAGACTCCACCCAGAAAGGTCCTGGTTCCCCCAGGACCCCAACCCAGAACCCTCTGGTCCTGGTTCCCCCGGGACTCCAACCCAGAACCCTCTGGTCCTGGTTCCCCGGGACTCCAACCCAGAACCCTCTGGCAGAAAAGTCCTGGTTCCCCCGGGACTCCGACCTAGAACCCTCTGGTCCTGGTTCCCCCGGGGACTCCAACCCCGGGACTCCTACCCAGAACCCTCTGGTCCTGGTTCTCCCGGGACTCTAACCCAGAACCCTCTGGTCCTGGTTCCCCCGGGGACTCCGACCCAGAACCCTCTGGTCCTGGTTCCCCCGGGGACTCTGACCCAGAACCCTCTGATCCTGGTTCCCCCGGGAGTCAAACCCAGAACCTTCTTGCTTGGAGGCCACAGTGCTAACCCATATGCCCGTATGAACCCACACAGGTAAAGCTCTCTGCCTCCTTTTGTTCAGCAGGACAGGCCTGACCCCTGATCTGCTTTACACACCTGGTAGGTCCAGCCGAGAGCTCCCAGGCTGCTGGTGGCCGTCTGCGATGTGTTGAGACAAGTGGAGCTCCCGGTGTAGTTGTAGTAAACTTTGGCAGCCTCAGAGACTCCGTGCAGTAGCTGGTGGTCCGACACGGACGAGTCGAAACCCAGATACTTGCACACGGCCTTAACAGGAGAAAGCATTTTTTTAACGCAAAAGCAAGAAAGAAGAGGTTTTTTGAACAAGAGGGGAGCCTGAATATCCAATTCCCTTAGATCAAAGTTGTTTACAGGGCTGACAAGTCGCTTTTTTCGTCGCCCATAAAGTGTGTTTCCACCCAAAAGAAAAAAAAAATGTTGTGGCACCTGATTTGCATGAGAAATTCCCTGGAATGAACTTGGATTTATTGCTTGGATCTTGGCACTAAAGAAAAAAAAAAAAGCAGCAAAACAACATCCATTCATCCAAACGCAACAATCCAAAGGATTTAAAATTTAAAGGTTTTTCTCTGTTGTTACTCCGGTTTTGTTTGGCTCCGGCTGATTTCTCTGAATTAACAGCATGAATGATAAATATTTGCGTTTCAGCTCCTGTTTGATTTGACGGCGTGTTGTTATGGTTGCAGAGGCAGAGTTGGCCGTGGCTGTTGTTCTGCGGGCTTTGTGAAGCGGTGAAACTGGGCTCTCTTGTTTGGAGGTTGGAGGGGAGCTCCACCAGTGTGGAGTTTGTTACTAAGGCTTTTGTTTATGGGCTGGGGAGGAGTTGGTGGTCGATGGATGAGGAGGGCCACAGACATGTCCAACCAAAGATTTATAATGTGAAAGAAGAAAAAAAACACTGCAATAGCTGCAAAGCATCTTCTCCTTACTTTTCAAATAGGATTAGGCTTATACATTCATCTCTGCCAACAGATTTCCCTCCTCTAAGCCCTCAATACTCCGTTCTCACACTCACTCCGATAATCACATTAGCTTTGTCATTAAAAAAGCTCCTTTTTGCACCCACTGCCTAAACCGCTTAAACAACCCATAGGGGTCGCATACATTAAAAGGCGAGGAGCCAAAAAAAAAAACCCCAAAGTGGCCATTTAGTGTTTATTTCACACGATGAAACACGACGCTCCTAAATCTATTATTCAGCTTTGTAATAACAAATGAAAAAATGTATGACATCGGTGGCAGAATGAGATTCCTGAGAGAGCTGGAAACGTCGAGGCGGCCAAAAAACGTACTACACCAAGTTAGTCAGCCCGGAAAAAGCCTCCGTCACCCACTCACTCACAGGGAAGATGAGAGCCACCCAGAAACTACAAAAATCTGTCACTACCCAGCTGTACTTGGCTGGTGTCTGATCAACAGTGGTGGAGAAAGTACTCATACAATGTACTTAAGTAAAAGTACAAATAGACAAAAATGTACTCAAGTAAAAGTCAAAGTACCACATTATTATTTTACTTAAGTAAAAGTAAGAAAGTACAAGCTTTTAAAACTACTTAAGTATTAAAAGTAAAAGTACTTGCCAACCATAATACCTAACGGCTTATATAATGTCATTAAGTGCACCTATCGTATTTAGTTTTAATAAATCAGTAATGTACCATTTTAATGAGCAATGCTGCAGATAAAGCATGTTTTTATTGTGTTTACCCCCTGTGACAGTTTAGATTTAGATATTTTATGCAGGTCCTGCGTACTGTGCTGCTCTTCTTGAGGGAGGGCCTGATGGTTATTTCCCGCTTTGGATTGGTTCAGCGGACTGATTCTGCTCTCGCCATTGGATACTTTCAAACTAACGAACAAATAAAAAAAAAACGAAATGCGTCTTGGATGTAACGAGTAACGAAACGCTGTATAGAAATGTAGTGAAGTAGAAAGTACAGATACTTACTGTTAAATGTAGTGGAGTAAAAGTAGAAAGTATCCATTATTAAATCTATTTAAGTAAAGTACAGCTACACGGAAATTACTTGTACTTCGTTACTTCCCACCACTGCTGATCAAGTGTCTAGTTTTTGCTTTAGCTCCACTGCTATTGAACTTTAGTCCTGCAGAACTGCTCACAGATGTGATGGAGTGTGCACGTGAGGGAGGAATGGTGGCAGACCTGTTCCCGCTATTCCAAAGAACACCTTACATGTAAAAGAAAACCCAGTGCTTATGAATATTAATGAAGTCAGTTGACAGCTGTTGTAAACAAAAGCTTGGAGGAGCACAACAAATACTCGTAACACGATTGGCTCTGCCGCGCATTCAAGGACAGGTTGTCAGATCAAATTAGCTGCTTAACCAAAGATGAGAAGACATGGAAAAATAAGACACATTTCCACCGATGGAGCCAGAGTTTTTTTCAGGGGTCTTTTTTTTTTTTTACATGGCATTACAACCACATTAAATAGAGAATCAGAGGAGATATTAAAAACAGCCCTGGTAATGAGACAATACTTTTGTTACTAAAGAGGCTTGTGTTGCTTTTAGTGTTGGTGATCTCTGATTGGTTGAGTATTTTTCTGTCATTTTTTTTAAAGGTTTTCTGTCGCGTTTGTTTCATTTCCACACTCCACAAAAACCTGTGAAATACATTAAATACAAGGAGGCCTTTGACTGGGACAAGAAGGCAGCCAATCTCAGTTGTAAAATATTAACCTCAATATTTTTTTCATCTGTGGATCTCCTATTCACAAACAGAAACATCCACAACACGGTACAGATGTTTAAAAACCACAACACCAGTGTAAAAGACCCCACGGAAAAAAAACAAACACGGTCCATATTGATAAAAGCTCGGGGTAAATAAGTTCCAGGTTCTGTCCGGCTAAAGATGTGCCTTTTGAAGCTCAATTGTGGTGATTATTTATACCTGGATAGGCCACCGTGGCAATGGCTGCAGGAAATTGGCTTCGTACGGGTAGTCCACCATGGCCAGGTTCACCCAGGTTTCTTGAAGCCAGCTCTTGAAGATGGCGACATCAGTCGTGGTTTTAAGAGGGGAGCATAAGCTGAACTGTTCAGACAGCCACTGAAGACCAGACGCTGTCAAAAAGAGAGAAAATTAGTGGTTTTTATTCAATAGGGTTTACTGAATTGCTTACTTCTCTTTGATATGACCCACTTTTAGCTGCCATAACCTTATATCTCAGGATTTTAGGAGACTTTACCTGATTTATCCGCACAGTTTAAACCAAAATTAACAAAATTCTTCTAATTCTGAGACACAGAGGAAAACTAAAGTCAGGTGGATTTCCCAAGTCTCCTTCAGAATACAACAAGGGTTTTAAAATGGATCCATCTGAGAACGTATAATGTATACGTCCAGATAATATGACAATGAGTCGCTCCTCCATGTATACTCTTAAATATATATATTTTTTAAAACATTTGAAAAAATCCCTTTAATCCTCTTTTCCCTGATTAACAGTTTAAACTCATTTGTGAACAGTGAATTGAAGGGTCAACTGAAAGGGAAATACGTTAAGCTGATTAAGCCATTAAGCCTCTAGAAAATGACTGGACAATAATCAATTAAGACATAAATGACAGTTTATTCATCTCTGACAAATTGAATAAAAGTACCTATAGTAAGACAGAAATAACATGTTTTTTGTTTAGCTTTTTTTGCAAAACTACATAAAACAGCTTGATCGAAACTGCTGAACAAGTTTCTTGCAGATATATGAATTCATCATCCCAGCATCACTTACCTGTTGAAGAGACATTATTAATAGCTTTCCATGACTTTCGGATGTTTACATCGCAGTTAGAACCACTTCTGCCAAAGTCTTGTGTTACTACTTTGTAGAAGTCTCCACATGGCACCAGACCAGGGAACTGCAGTATTGGAGCAGAGGATGCCAGAGCTCTGCAAAACCAGAAGAAACAAAACTGGAAAAACCTCTTATACTCTGGGTACCCCTATTCTGAACACCTTAGTAAGCATCCAAATGCTTCTAGGAGGATATTTTTCAGTATTTAAAAGGTTAAAACACGCAAAAAGGGCTTGCTGGAATTGGAGAATAATGGACTAATATCTTACCCGATGACGATATGGGGGTATTTCATGCGGAACCAGGCAGAGAGCATCCCCCCGTAGGAGCCCCCCACCGCGATGACGGGGCTGTGCGTTGCCCCCGGTAACGTGCTCTTAAGACTTTGAATCAGCACAGCAAAATCTGCCAGGGCCTGCTCTGAGCTCAGGTAGTTCAGGTGTTTGCTGTCCTGCAAGTAAAGATTTATACCGTCTCCACAACTGTCTCTGTTAGGGAAATCAATATATGTATTATCACTTTCTTAATTTCTCTCTGGTAACTTTCCACAAGTGAATATTTTAAAGGTTCTTTTTCTTTCTCGTGGGACTCGTTCCTCCTTCTAGGTCTCAGAGAGGGTCTCCTTATGGTTTATCTCTGAATGTTTTGTGCAGAATGAAGGACAGACTTTACGTCTTATTTTCAGGCTCAGAGGGTATAAAATGCACCATGATTTCTTTTACTTTGGAGCAGTTTGGTACGTCATATGAACCACTTGTATGATCGTACTGGCTAATCTCACTTCATGAAGTTTTCCCTTTCCCTTTTTTCCCTTTTAATAGATTTCTATTTCTTACTTCCTCAGACTTTTGCTTTAAAATAAAATTTCCACAACAGTCTCCCAATGAACTCTTTAATCACACATTATCATTACTATAAAATAACATGGAAGAATAGAAAAAAGGTGTTTTAAATTCTGATAAGAATCACTGGTGACAAAGCATTTACTTACACTGTAAGAGTCTTGTCCAAACGGTAGGGACTCTCCATAGTAACGATGTTCGGCAAAAACCAGCATGGCTCCCAGCTCCTCTGCTTTCTCCCACATGAAGCCCTGAGGAGGCATCAGGAACAGATGTGAAGTTGAAGACTGCGTCTGGTTTAAATCGTGTAAACAGAAGTGCCGTGTTTTACCGTGTTGTTGCAGAACCAGGTGATGTCCCCCTCATTTCCCGTGTAGAATAAAATGGGCCCGTCGGGTTTCTGCCAGTGTTTGTCGGCCACCAGGTATCTCTGCTTGAAGGTGCCGTCCTCGAGAAACCCAAAATGATCGATCTGTAAACAACACAAGTCTGGATTCATCACCGTTATAGAAAATAATATTCTTGAAGTGATTTCATTGGAAAACTGAACAAATATAAGTGATATCCTTGTTTTGAGAAGCCCTGCATAATGCATAATCTTCACTTATGATTAGCATTCAAAGCTACATTAGGGACTCCTATTGGTTTCAGCACAAAGGAAATATCCTAATTAATTAAATGTAAATGTACTTATATAGAACATGTGCTTATTATAGCTTAATTACACTAAATATGAAATATAAGTTGGCATATATGGTAAAAAAAAATCCTTTTTAGACCAAAAAATTGTATGCATCAGTTAGAAAAATGACAGGGGTTTCCATTAGTCCATGCTATGGCCCTCCTAAATGACAGTCCTGATGTTGGATTCTTGGGTAATTAGCCCCAATTTGTTTTAAGAAATATTGGAGCCAGTTTTAGGGAAGCCACATTAGTTCCACTTTCATTGAGCTCTGAAATATCCTTTCATAAAACCTCAGGGATTCTGGGTATCTTTCCCTTTCAAGCATATTTCCAAAAGGCAGAGACAACGACGGCTTCAGGGAGAAGACAACCCTGTGAGGTTTTTCGGAGTCGTCCAGCCCTTGAAACAGCCCCAACACTTAATACAAAATGTTTCTGTTTTGTTTTTTCCCCATCGCCGCTCTCTTTCCTCCTTGGTGAGCACAAAGGAGGCTGCACTTTTATGAGCCAATGACAGCGGAAAGCTTCTGGGGCCTCAATGTGTTCATTGAAGCCTCGACCCCCTCGCTCTTGGCAGGCTTTTCAGGGTGAGGAGAGCAGGAGACGCTTTAGAGGAAAGTTCAGCCGTTTTGGCAGCGGAGAACATTTCAGCGACACTGGTCACCCAAAGTGTCCCGCTGGAATCCAGAGAACCCAAAAAAAACCCCACACACTCCACGGATTTGCATAGTTTAAAGTGATTTCTAAAGATTTCGTGATATTAGTTTTTCTCTATAATGATTCTTAAATTCCAACTTTAGATATTAAACGTACGTCATAACATAAAGCAACACAATCTTTTCAATAATGAAATATATTCCAGTGCAAAGTACGAACTAAAAGAGAAAACTAACCTAACCAGAAATGTTTCGAGTAGTTTTAAAGGCGAAGAAAGAACTGAATGTGGTTTCATAACATGCCCACATCCTGATGGGTGCTGCCACCCTGTGGCCTCAGCAGGCAACACCTCAATATGTGGCTTCTTTTTTTTTTAAATCAGGGCTGCACATCTCCTGAGCCATTGGGTTTGCTTCTCCAAATTTTAGGCGGCTGCTTCTGTTTTCCGGTAAATGGAGACAGGGAGGAAACGACTGAAGCACGAGCTCCGTTGGACTGCATCTGCTCATTTTAGGATGCTAAAGGACACTTCCATTCATTGTCTGGAGGCATACTGTCGTGAAGAGGATTTCCTGATGGCAACCACTGGATCTCTTTGTGCTCTCTTCACTGTATTTTTCCAAATAAACGGTTGAAAAGCCTCTATAGTTAATGACTGTGTTGAGATAACAGCAGAGCGACACCAAACTGAGCTTTAATTATCGGACTTCAAGAAGAAGCATGCAATTTCTTGTTGGTGGCAAACAGAAACCAACATGAGATAAGATTGGGAGGGTAAGAAGGGAGGAAATGGTCTTAATCTTCTTGTCATCTTGGCTGATTAGGCAGGATACTGTGGGCTGGAACAGGTGTGGAGTATTGTCTTCAGATCCAAACATTAGCTTTATTAATAGCAAGCAAATGTCACCACGATCAACTTAAGCCAGTCAGTACAACCTTTCATGTTACATATTTACTTGTATTTTCCTGTGGTGATTTTCATGCTAATCTATCAGTTATGTGAAACAATGTAGCAGCGTTTTTTAAGCTGTTTTTGACCTAAGAATTATGCACTTTGCCAATAAAAAGTACTCTTTCAATTCATGAGTAACACTGCCAAAAAAACTCTGTGACCTTATGTTTTACTACCAGTAAACAGTGCCGACTTTGCTAAATTACTCGTGTTTGCCAAGAGCTGTCTTTCCTCTGTGCAACAAACAAGGCTCCTGGAAAGTGCTGGCTAAACTGTTAAACTTCTCAGTCAGCAGGAGAGTGGGCTTAACTCTTTTACTTTCATTGAACAGCCCAGCCGAAACGCTTTGATGCTCCCTTATCCGAAGGGTCTCGATTTCTGGGGTGGAACATGATTCTCACAAAAGATTTTCCCCAGTTGGGTTTTTTTGTTGATAGTGGTCCAGACGGCTTTCTAGCATTCATGCACAAAATCTACCACAGACATCTGTGAGCCTTTGTGCTTTATGGATGGGGGCCTGGCATATACTGGAGACAACTTTTATCAATTGTTAAAGCAGATTCTTCTGACCCAAGTGGACATAACCCTCACCTATAAACTCTATGAACATAAACAAGGAGCCACCTGATCCTAAAACTGTAGCGCTTATCACTTCATTAAAGGAGAAATGATTGACATGGCCTGTTGGACAAAGGCCAATGAGTTCAAGGAGACAGAAATAACTACAAAGAGGTGGAAAATTCCCTCATAAGATTGAAAATTAACAGTGTGCGATGCTAAAAACAACCACAAACAGACAGAGTGGCTTAAAAGAGCAATAGGAAACTTTATTTATTTTTTTAATAGCCCAATTAAGCCTGATTAAAGGCTAAACTACACATTTCTGCTTTAAGGCTGATGCTCCACAAAATGATCTTTAGAACTGAAGGTGAAAAATCTTTGACGTCCAAAAACTTCCCGTTGCCTTTACTATAAATCTTACGACTTCAGTTACCTAGACGACTGAGAAACTAACATAATCAGTTATGTTGACACCAAATTGACACATAAAACAAAAACTGAGCAAAAAGAGACACAAAGCTATTACAAAAATCCTAAATTCCCAATGTAGACATGAAAAAACTTATAACATAAGACACAAAAAAAGTCCCAGAATGGTAACAAAGAGAACACAAACCTCAAAGTTAACACAACGTTAACACAACGTGACATTAAATCATCAGACACACACACAAGCCACAACTCATCACAAAAGGCAGGAAAGGGGAAATACAATGACCATAAAGTTTCTGAAATGAAGTAAGACTTATTTCTATTGTTTGTGTTTCTTTAGTGTCTTTTAAGTGTGAATTTCTTCATTGTGAGCAAACAAGTCTGAGCGGCTTTTTATTTTGACTCATGTGGACCATCACATACCACTCAACACGCAATCTGAATCTCCACGAAGTAACAATACAGAGAAAATAAAAAGGCTGAATAAAGATCTGTCAAACCCCCATGAGGTAAAGCGTTTCATATTCACTGGCCCCCGGAGACCTCTTTAGGCTGAGGGCCAGGAAGGATGGCTTCATCTGCTGGCAGGAACAGGGCCAATTGTGATGGTTTTCCCTTCACTACAGGAAGCCAGATGGAAACACCTATTGTCTCCAGACATAACACATGAACTCCTATAGAACTACGTGTAGTGGGAATTTTAGAAAGAGCAAGTGGTGCAGTTATTTGTACGCTGAAGAAAAGATAAAGAAAAGGAACACAACAGCCAATAAATCTGTGAAAACACAGTATGAGCTATATTATATATGTATATTTTGTACTAAAAACAATCCTAACTCATGAGGTACATTTTCTCTTTTTCCACAGAAGATTTTCTAGTTGATTTCCCCCACTCCACTAAAATGAGTTTTTCTGAGATGCAAATCAAAGCTTTATAGGGAAGTGAAAGAGAAACAAGTTACAGGAAGAATCATGTGAAAAATTAGACATATTCACATCAAATGAGCACGTCTTAGCTCTTTTTAAAGAGAAAGAGAAATGCTGAACTCACCTGCTGGTCAAAGTAAAATGTATTATAGCTGATGGGGGGGTCATTGGAGAAACGTAGCCCTCCCAGCCTTGTGAAAAGTTGCGATTTGAGGGCGGTCACGTGTAAAGAAGCCAAACACAATGTTGTGATGCAGGCAGCTGCAATTCTGTCAAAAAGCTGCTTCCTAACCAAAGCCATCATCCAGCCACTTTCAGAAAGTAGCCCTGAACTCGTGGGTCCTGGTCCTATGGTCAGCACGTCCGCATGATCTTAACTGGGTTTGCACCTCCAGACTTGTCGCATTTAAGAGGAAGTGAGAGTCTCCTGTCAGCAGGTCCGGAGAGGTGTTCCCACTACACTCGTGATCTAAACTCTGCATGAGCCGGGGAAGCCCACTGTCTGTCGGGACGCTTTGGTTTTCAGTTTTCACAACGATTTCACCACTTTAAAGTGTTGTGAACCGGCTGCCTAAGATGTAAACACGTTTCTTGCTGTGTGTTTCTCGCGATGGTTGACGGGACAGTGAGTTTTATGGAGTTAAAGGGACTCGAGTTAGCAATAATACAGAAGTTACCTGTACGACCCACTAATGAGGTCAACGCCAACTGGAAATGTGTTCAACGTGGACAGCGTATCGGAAAAAGGAGAAAAGCCTTAGCCTCTTTTGTTGGGATATTATTTCTTGTGTGCAGCGAATAGTACTTTAGAGCCACTGAAGTGCTAATATGATAACATGGTAGTGCCACGTAACGGAAACTCCATTTGTCACAAACTACATTCTGATAGAAAAAGTCTACCTCTTTTCAAGAAGAAAAGCTGATTATACATGTACGAATTCTTCTTGCAGTCGTTTAGTTATATAACGATATTTAGGAAGGCTACTATGCCTACTAGCAAAATGCTGGGTTGGCTTCGGAACCTGCCTAGCTATCTAGCAAGCTAGCTAGCTTCATAGACGAGTTGAGCCTGTTGGTCCGTTGCAGCGACACATCAACGAGTCCGCCATCTTGGATGTGGCAGAACGCCCCATAAACTAATAAAATAAAACGGACTGAACTCCATAAAGCAGCTTTCTACAAAGTGCTTTAAGTTAATGCACCTTATTCACTCATTCACACACACACTAATATATCTGGGAAATAAATAAGCAAAAAAAACGTACATAACTTTTAAAGTGATGATTATACACTTTTACTCCTGATGTTTAGGATATAAGAAAGCATCAAACCAGCGTTTGTACTTTAATACTGAGTGTTTTCAGCTACTAAAGCCTGTAACTCTGTTACTGTAATATAAATACTGAAATATTTAAATTTAACTTGTAATCTGTACCATAATAACCAGATCCTGAAAAGTAGATGTGGTTTTCTGGATAAAGAGCACAAACATTTACATTTAACTGATTTTCATCAATCGATAGATAGATAGATAGATAGATAGATAGATAGATAGATAGATAGATAGATAGATAGATAGATAGATAGATAGATAGATAGATAGATAGATTGTTCATCTGACTGTTCCCATAATGGGTTGTTCATGCTGATTACACATGAGGGGATGAAAGTCAACATTTAGTGTAATTCTTTAATGTTATACAGAGTATTTAGTGGTTATTTTGTACACATAAAATAAAAATTAGCACAATGTCCCAACAGCATTTCCATTGTATTTCCCATTTTTGTTGACGGGTTGATGCAAAGGAATTACCATCAGCAACTGCAATTCAATCTAAGTTAAAAGGCAATAAAGAATGCTTACCATTCTTACAAAGGGACTACTGAAAATACTAAATTATAAAAGCAAAGTGCTGAGATGTACTACACAACCAAATCTGTACATCACAAGACTAAATGTTACACTGGAAAATAAGTGTGCAGTGTATGGCGTTGTGCAACACAGTAGATTGCGGTTATGGCAAATAAACCCATAATAATGACAAATAATGGGCAACCATGCTGAACAATTCAGATTCACAAAAAGCATATGAAATACAACAAGTTATATAGAACTACATGGATACACCCCTTTAAACAATTTTTCTGTCTAGAAAGCAGCAACAAATGCAGAAATACTCACGTATATGAAAAACAAAAGGAGAAACAAAACAACCGACATTTAAAAGTACTTCAACTACCTATAATTTCATCTGATAGCGACCTGTCCGACTGTTTAAACTAAATCAATTATCACAAGCACTGCAAGTATATTAAAAAAAAATCATAATAGCGTCACAGAATACTGTAGTACTTGTACATGTGTTTCGGTTAATGTTATCTGACATTATAGCAGCAAGTAAAAACCTCTATAGGGAAAAAAGATTTCACAGTATATAATGACTGGTGCAAAATGATTCGAAAAGGAAATTTGAAAAGGTAACAATATTGAAAATGATTCTCATAGCAGAGGAAACTGTGGTGGGAGATAAATGTGCAACAGATTTTTAGGGTGGATTTGCAAAGCTTCTGTGGCAGCTTGATCAAACTTGGTAATCCCAAAAAGGTGTTTTACTGTATGTAAACATGTCGTCAGTAACATATAACTGCCAGAGATCGCAGAACCGTTTGTCAGCCGTGGGATCTGTGACAAAACACCCGGCAGAGCTGGTCACTCATGTAATACTGCTGGTGAATTTTGATGATGAAAATGGATCCTAAAGCCCAAACAGGAAAATCCTGGAAAAAAATGGAGCCCTACTCAGATTCCTGGATGCGTCAAGACAGACACTTCCTGTTTCAGTGAGGATAACGTTCTCAGTATTGGCAGCATCTTAAATAGCTTGTTCCTGGAGGGCCAAACTAAAGCTGACTAACCCCCTTGTACAGCTTAAAAGAGGCATAGGACTAGAAATGACCAAACTAAGAGGTGGCTTTATACCATCTTAGTGGGACGGAGGCATTGGGGCTCAGCCATCCAACCTCTACAGTCTACGGCAGAGTCAGGACCCAATAACCACCGAGCAGCTGAGCACCCTTTAAGTGAGGCTGCAGCAGTTCAGATAACTGATGGTTTTACCCTCGCCGGGCATGGGCCGATCATTGTCATTGTTATCCAGCTTGTTCTGCTTAGCCTCTCGGATGAGTTCACAGGCCAGGTCAAGGAAAAGTTTCTCCACGTTGTCGGACTCTTTGGCGGACGTCTCGAGATACAGCATGCTCTGAGAGTCGGCGAAGTCTTCCGCCCTCTGCCTGTGAACCTCCCGCTTCTCTGCCAGGTCTATTTTATTACCTTAAAAAGAAGGGAGACAATCCATATGTCAACAAACCAAACAGGTAAGATACTAGCTTATCGTATCACAACAGATATCTCTGAGAAATTGACATGGTTGGGTAGTGGTGGGCGTAGTTAAACAGATGGAGCTGGAGGTGTACGTGTGCTCCTCCATGTGTGGGATGGATTTCAGTCCAGAATCTGAGCTCTGTATTCAAGGCTAAACCGACTGTTTTTCTTAGGAATGACAACATGGTTTTATGTTTGATAGAGCTCTCTATAATGTGTGCTGCAAGGCAGAAAAGAGAGGCTAATTCTTTCTGAAAGTGTGTGGGAATGCTCTCTTACCGACTAATATAGTCACCACTTGGTTGTTGGCATACTGCTCAATCTCCCTCAGCCACTCTGGAAGGCACCTGAAGGAGTCCTCACAGGTAATGTCATAAGTAAGAATGAGGGCATTGGCACTACGGTAATAACTCTGAGTAATGGAGCGAAATCTCTCCTGTCCGGCTGTGTCCCATATCTGCAACTGGAGAAGACGAGGCATTATGAAACCCTACACGGGTCATCATTTGCACATTTCAAATGTCAAAGTAACCTGATCTACCTTGACCTTCTCCCCTTTGATTTCCACAGTTTTAATCATGAAATCAACTCCGATGGTAGCCCCTTGTCCAGGTGGGAAAAGGCCCTATAGTTGGAATCACAGTAAAACACGGATAATAAATGCTCTCATATTCTGACCTACAATAACTTAAAGAATGCAGGCCGATGCCAACCTGAGTGAAGCGCCGGACGAGACATGTCTTCCCGACGCCAGCATTTCCTATCAGAACTATTTTGAACAGGTAGTCATAATCTTCCATGCTCATCCTAACCTGGGAAAAATACAACAACAAAATAAAAGCAACAAGAGGTTAAGGAAGATACAAGGAAGCCAAAGATTTGTTAGAAAACAGGCAAAGGACAGCAACAGGGAACCAATCAAAGATGAGGTTTGACCTAAATACCATTCTAGCACAAACTAGAGCATCTTCAGAGAGAATTTGAGTTCATTACAAATTTGTTTAGAAAAACATGAATAATTTTTCACTAGAAAAATACCTGTACATTTTTTTTATATTCTGAGATTTCAGTGCCACAGTGAATAAGTTTGTAGTTTCCAAAAGAAACAAACAACTGGTGTTGACCAACAGTTTGTTAAACACGATTTTGACAAAAAATTGTATTTCCAGGCTCATATAGTTGCTGACAAAAGCCCAACTGAACAGTACCCAGCTGTAGGATTTGTGTTTCTTTTGGCCTGTGTGCAACAGCTTGAGAGATGCATGTAAACGTGGATCCTGTTAGCAAAGCTGGACCGTTATTTGTTGGGCAACTAATAGAATAAAGCCTATCACCAAAAATCGAAATGCATAAATCCATAGCAAAAAAGCTATTTTGTTTAAAATGGCAAACTGTTGCTTGCAAGAAGGTGCAAAAAACAGAGAGAATCCTGATGCCAGTTTGGGTGCATTATTTAACCCTAGCTCGCATTTAAAATGAAACTCCTCCCTGAGTCACGTTTCCTCTTCCCATGACTATTGTTACACCTAAATACAGCAGGTTTCAGTCAACATGTAACCCAGTTATCGCATCATCTGTTGCTAATAAAGATTAATCTGGAGGCAGACTTGATGGCTAATAGGGCGAAGCTAGCAGCAGTAGCAACTGGAGCTACCGGGCGACCCTAGCCATTTTGGCTCTGTGTGGAGATGCAGGAGTGGAAATCAGAGTCCGTTCAGTGCATAAAGCCTAGAAACCATCTGCACTTACCGAAAAACACGGGGGTGTCCCCGGGTTTATAACTTGTCCGGATGCATAGGTGAGCTCGTCAAACGGGCGAAGCCGCAGCTGGGCAGGGCATAATTCCCCCGGCTGTATCCTCAGCAGCCCGTGCGATAAAGGAGGAGAGGAAGAGGGAGAAGGAGGGGGAATGCACTCAATGATGTCATTAGCTCCACATCCACTAACACACTGCCGTTCAGGGTTGCGTCTTACAGTCTAAGTTTTATTCCGGTTAATTTCACTTTTGTTTTTAATCCATAACTTTGCCTGCCTTTCCTTTTTTTGTACGACGTAACTTTATCGCTCATAATTGAGCAACTTATTCTTCTTTAAAGACCTTGCAAGTTGTTATTTGTTTTAATCTCGCCAGGGTTCTCTGATTTATTGTCCGCGTAAATACACCCGTTGTTATGCATTAGTAGACCTTTTATAGCGAGCTATGAATAGCAAGTTTTGTCCCTTGGCGTTGGTTGCTAGGAAACTGTTTAGGCGGAACCGAAGCAGCTCGCGATTGTTTTTCGCCGGACGTTTCAAGTGGTTACACACCCTGCCCTTGACTTCCTACGAGGGGTGATAGCATAGGGACAAGCGTACTCAGCCCAGAGGTCACTATAACTTCGGTTTTCAGGTTAATTTCATCGTCATGGGGTTTGTTCCAGACGAGGGGAAGGCGCTCCCTCCTCCCGGGATCGTGAACAGGAACTCGGTGTGGTTGGCCGGAGTTGGCTGGGTGTCCGCGTTGCTGCAAAATGCTATCAATCACAGGCCACCGCTAAAATCAGGTTAGCAGCTTTTCAGCTTAGACCTGCGTGCACAGACAGTGGAGATACCTCTGTAGTGTTTGAATGTTTCTATGCTTGAAAAATAAAAACCAACGATTGGCTGCAGAAATCCCCAACTGTGCTTAAAATACAATGCTAACCTTTGTTATGCTAACTTTAGGGGTTCATCGGCAGGCCCTCCTGGCCTCGATTGGCTGGTTCATTGGCTACCATATAACAAAATATGAAAACTACTTCTACGCCAAGCAGGATCGAGACATGAGGGAGTACGTCAACCTCCACCCAGACAAATTTGAGCCAAAGGGTAGGTTGTGGTGCCAGTTTCTCTTCTCCGCCTTCAGATTTGGTGTTTGCACAGACATGGTGTCAAACGTTAATGTTTGCTGGCTATTGAGAAATTTGACATGTCACAGGATTTTTTTATACATGTTTGAAAAAAACAAAACAGGCTGTTTGATGAACTTCACCAAAGTATTTTAAACGTACCTGAATATTTATATGTTTTATTATGTATGTATTTATTTAATGCATTCTCTCATGATTCTGTTTCTTATTTTCCACCAGAGAAAAAGACCTTTGCAGAGATCGTGGAGCCCTTCCATCCTGTGCGCTAAATATTGCTGTCTGCTGAGGAGATAAAGGAAAGGAAAGAAATAATTCACCGACCACCAGGCTTTGAGCAGCCTTTTTGTGAAATCTGTCATATATTGTGTGAAATTTGCCTGTAAATAAATATAAATACCTACTTTTTGCAGTGTTAAGTTTTACTGAATACTAGATGGTTGGTTTTATTATATATTTGTGATTATAAAAAAAAATGAAGAGCTATAAAGGATCAGTTTGGGCAAAGCACATTTATTTAGTTGTCACGGAGGGAAAACATATTAGACATTTAAGCTCGTTTGCCATTAGTTTGCCACTCCAATTATGTCCAGGTACTTCTCCGTGACGCTGTGAGCCTTATTGGTGAGGTCACTCATCACAGAAAACAGTCCGTTCAGATGGAAGTGGAAGAGGGCTTCGGGATCAGCGTCCAAAAGAGGTTCCAGGGCCTTGTCGAGTGCGGTCTTCTTGGCTTTGAGGTCATCTAGGGGAACCAGGCTGCTCTCCGCCGTGTTCCTGATGGCCTTGAGCATCAGGTAGTTGGCGTGCAGGTCTCTGCAGGCTTCCTCTGCCGCCTCGCAGTCCCACGGGTCCTCGGAGGGCACGTCCCGCAGCAGGCTGGGCAGGAGGATGGTCTGCTCCATGTCGCGGACGGCCGAGCTGTATCGCTTCAGAGTCAGGAACAGGCTGTTCCTGTTGACTCGGTGTGTGGCGGACTGCATGGTTCCAGGTGGATTTGGGCGGCTGCTTCTGAGCTGTGGTGGTGGACGGCAGAAAGCAGCGTGCAGTGCGAAGCCGTCCGGGCGGGCGCCGGTTTATATCCTGATCCCTGGTGGGTAGATCCAGTTGCGCAAGCACATCATCCGATACAGCCGAGGGCTACGTGAAGTCAAGCTCTTATCTTTATTTGATTTACACAATCCACAGTCAGCAGCATTGAATAATTACTGAACTGGATGCCAAAACATTTGTGAAATCATTAACCGGACCATCACGTTTGAATCAGTGGATGGCATTTGAACAAATAAAAAGCTCGTGGCTGCCATTTTTGAGACAGAATTTGAATTCTGATAGCAGTCTTTCAACTCTTTGAGTTGTGAAGTGTCTACAAAGTACAGGAATCAGTTCTTTATTGACATTCAAATAACATTCCATCTACTTGTTACATGGAATACTACATATATTAATATTATCTCATCTTGAAATATTATTTACTCTCCACTCTTTGATGCTGAACTCTATAAATGACAATGTTACATTTCTTTGTTTTACAGATAAAGAAAAGTCAGTCATTTACTAGGGAACAATTCTGTTTCTTCAGAGGGATTTTTTTTTTTTTAAACCAGTAGGAAAATAAATTTTAAATAAAAATTTTTTTTAAAAAAAAAAAAAAAGAGAAAATTTAACATAAGATTGTGTAACTCATAAGGCAACATTGTATCCTTAGTGGTTTGAAAAGATTGTGGAAAAAATTGCATGTCCTTGAGATCATGACTGCTATTCTTACATCGGGTCACTGCAGTTCAGTTTTCTGCAGGATAAGTGCACAAAACAGTTTGTGTTGAGGCTGAAAACCGTGCAGCTGTAGCTCCCTCTGACTGATTACGTTCAAGGTTGCAAAGTGTTGAAAGTGCAGCATTTTAAAATCTGTTAAAGAACTTCCCTTCATTTGGCAGTCTCATGCAGAACTAATCAGAATTTAGTTTACCATCAGCAGGTTCAATTCTAAATATTATTTCTTACAAACATTTAAATGAAACAAGCTGCTTCTGAAACATTTTTTTCTCCACAGTCTGAGAGTTCTGCACATATAGAGCACATGGGTGGGGCTGGGTGGGGGGTGCACTGCACCCCTCAGCAACCTGCAGAGATACAGAGTCTGGTCTTCCCTTTTCACTGCACAGTCTTTTGAGGCTGCTTAATGATTCCCAACTCAATTCACAGCTTTTTTCTGCTGACCGTTGATGATAATTTCCAGGACGTTGGTAAGATCCATCATCTTAGAGAGCATTTCCATGATGTCGGGGTGCTCCTTCGCGCCACTGATGAACTCCTCCAGTGTCAGCTCACCTTTGAGGGACGAGAAAAACAATTATATTATCATAATGATCATAATAAAAGGCATCAAATGAATCAAATTGGACGTTTGACGTTTAAATTCTAAATACATCTTTTGAAAAGCACATGTAATGACTGTATTTCCAAATATCTGAGGCTCACCTTCTCCATTGACATCTATTTTCTCATATATAAGAGTCACAATCTCCTCCGGAGGGACTTCATAACTTCTGGTGATATCCTGAATAGCCTGAAAGAGGAGTGTACAGTGGAAATCAGCTTGATATAATTCAGTGACATAACAAGTCAAGCATTAAACAGAAGTTAGGAGGGAGTGATAAAACACTAAAAACATAAGAACCTTTTCTCTGCCATAGGTGCACCTCATGGAAGTGGCTCTCATGATAAATAGTTCATGACCGGGGCAGAGCGGTAATAGAATTACACACCAACAGGTGAAAATGTGTCACATAATTAGGCTGCTTATGTGACCTACTTGCCGTCTGAATTAGGTTACTTTAGAGGCCTTATTTCTGCCATAGGTGAGGTACACAACACCTGGACTGGCTAACATTGACTAGTTTATCACATGACACTAAAGCATATGTTGTTTCAGAGGTGAGATTTTTGATTCAGAAAACCATCAACTAATTCCCAGTCATGCTAAATGCTTTTTCTGGAACATATATAGATAATATACCCTACCTTGAATATAGTCTCCAGTTCATCCTTGTCAATCTTTCCGTTTCCGTCTTGGTCAAAGAGCTTGAAGTACCACTTTAATTTCTGATTTATTTCTCCTTTTAGTAATAAACTTATAGCTGCAATGTATTCCACAAAGTCTATGTATCCATCCTGGGGAGAAGTAAGGACAAAGGAAACACATTCAATACGAGTTACACCAGTCAAAAACCTTTGAAAAGTGAGAATCTGCCTAATTCATCCAAAGTCTCAAAGAGCTAAGCGCTGTTTAACATATGTGTTTACTCTCAATGTGGCATATATCATTATTATATAAATTAATTCACCCGTCTGCAATATGTCAGTGTGAAATAGCTGTTTAAATAGTACTGAGTACTCTTAATTTCTAACTTTTAATGGATAGCAATGTTGGGGTTTGGTGATAAACACATCCTTGCATCTGCAATTCTGTGAAATATGAATGATTATGTTGATCATTACTAATAAGAATGTTATTAAAGCAGGACTAAAATGTAGTGCAGCATTTTCTTACCCCATCCATGTCAAAAGTGAAGAAGACTTGGTCCACGTAGCTGCTGGCCTCCTCCGTCATTCCGTTCATTTCCAGCATTGTCTTCAGCTCAAACAGTGTGATGAGCCCCGAAGGAGATTCCTTCATGAATTTAGTGTACCAGTGGTGCATGTCCTCCTCCAAGATGTCGTCCAGGCTTGCCATTTGGGCTCCCATTATTCCTTTAGAGGACGTGGATCTCAATCAGGAATCCCAATAAGAGCGTTGTCACGAATCTTGCAGAAAGCCAGCAGTGAAACTGCGACTAGAAAAGACTATAGCACCAGCACTTCTGAACTCCGACTGAGAGCAGACGCAAAGACTGTTCTAATCTTTAAGCCCGAACAAGGGATAACCCTCTAATGGGATAACAGCATAAGTCTTCCTAGAACCTCAGGACTTTGCATTCTTGATGGCGAGAGGCCAGCAGGTCTTCTGTGAACAGGAAGGATGTCCACAAGACTGGTTATGTACGAGGGGCTTCAAAAGTGGGACAAACAGAGCTTCACCCAGTTCAGTTCTCAAATCAAATCACGGATGAGGAACACAGCATGACTCTTGAGTTTGTTTTACTTCAAATTATCATGGTCTTTTCAAGAATCTTATTTTTCCATGACAGCTATTTGGAAATGCCACTATGTTCAGCAGTTTAGCAGTTTTATGTGTTTCAGATCATATTAAGCCACAACTAATATCGCCCATAACAAATCCAGGTAGCCAATCTGTCTGTATCCATTCCTGTATTTTCTCTACCAGTTTATTTAAACTCAGGGTCTCTGTGTGCTGGAGCCCATCCCAGCTCTGAGAGGCGGGAGCTTCCTGGACAGTAGCCATTTCAAAAGGGATGGACAGCAATGCTCACTCACTGTCAATGGTAAGGCCGCTTTAGTCATCAATTAATCTAACATGCATTTTTTTCTTTTGTTTATCCATAACATGCAAACTCCACAACAGGATCCACCAGTAGTTGTACTTCGTCATTTAGTTATCTTTCACTAAGAAATCATTGTCAACACAGTGAAAAGAAAAAAAGACGACAGATGACAGCCAATTCCAAATGGAGTGATCATATTTATTTTTTAGATTCATGAACTATACTACGATAATGAGACACAGAAGAATAGCAACAAAATAATTATGTTTCTTTAATTGCACCAATTTAGAATTTCCATGAACTGACAGATTAACATTGTTCCCAGAGGATTGACCATTTTAAGCTATCTTACCTGTATTAGATAGTTTGATTATTCATGAATTTTCCTGCAGAATTGACTCCAAATGACTTGAAGAATTGAAGATTGAAGATTTCATGCTATTTTCATTCCCTTCAGAGAAGGGATTGTTGATTTTTGTTTTAGGCCTGGGAAAAAAACAGTTACTGTATATCTAATCTATTTTCCCAGGGCTTTAGACAACATTTAAGTTCAGAGTAATTAATATATATATATTGTCAAAGCATATGTGACACCTTTATTACACCCATACAGGTTGAAGTGTGCACAGAAGCCACACAAATAACTACTGTTGTTTAAAGGAACAAGGCTGTAAAAGCTCAGGGTGCTAATTATAGTAAATCTGGCTTTAGACGACTGGCAGCTCTCAAAATAGGATTGGGGAAATGAACCTCCAGTGCTAGCAGCCAGCACTTGTTAGCTTGTTAGACATCGACAGGGAGATCCTGGTGTTGCATTGATGCCAACAAGCCGTGGTAGTAAGCATTTACTGCTCCTACAGAGCTGTAAAACAACCTCAACGGCTAACTGGAGCTGTCTGACTCTGATGCTGTTTACTGCAACATTTGTCCTATTTATCGTTTTATATTCATTTTATTTTAATTATCTTTAATTTGGATTTAGTTTTATTTTAATCGTTATTTTTTTCTGAAGGACAACAGTTTTCTCTAAGTAAGTTGTGTATGGTGTATGGTTATCAAAAAAATAAAGAAACTTCTTCCCACTCTACACATGTTAAGTATGCAAAAATAACTGAATCTGTGTTTGTCTGCTTCGAGTAAATGGGATATGAAAGAAAAAGAAAAATCTATAAAATCATGTGATTCCATATTGACTTAGAGGAAACTCGAGTACCCACAACACCTGACACGCCTGTGGACAGGGTTGTCACATGACCACTATAACTATAATATTTGCATTTGACCCTATTGCAAATTTTTGTACAAAAACTATGGTGAGATAGATGCTCTCCAGATGAGAGGCGCCAAAAGTGTCTGATAAACATCAGGTTTGTCGGAGCTTTTGCTCAAAAGATATTTGGTAATGAAGAGGACATACCCATTTAATAAACTATAAACCATAAACACTGATCGTAAACAGGGACTTGCTTATCTAAAGGGGTTGAAGGGCTCACAGGTCACTAAGGTAACTAAGTCAAAAACATATTAAGGTTACAAGGCCATACGGATAGCTGATACACGTGAGATTTAGCTTTGCAAGTCGGGAGTCCCAGTCATAAACTCTGCATGCTCAAACCAGGATGTGGCTGTGAGGTGAACCACGCCCTGTCTATGCTCAGCACTAATCTCCTGACATACATGGAGGGATTTCCCTGCCATACATTGATAGAATCTCACTTGCACAGCGGATTTCAGTGGGAATTTGTTTGATGCGTTCGATAAACAAAGCAGGGAACAGAAAAAAAATAACTTCCTTCCACTTAGATGGATCTTTAGTTTCTGGAACACTAGAACTTTTTCATTTTCATTCATTTCATTTCATTTCTTCTGTCATTAGGAAAATAAAAGAATACATTTCAAGATATCATTACTTTTGCAGTCATTTCTTTACTTTTGCCAAGGGACAAATTAGGGATACATTTTAGTGATCTGACTTACTTTTGATGAATGTAATACTTTGAATAGCTTAACAGTATACAGGACATACTGTGTATGTCCTGTATGTTCAACCGGGTAACTTTACTTTATAATTGTATACAGTACGCACACTAAACCTTATAGAACGGGATGAAAACATGTACTATGAGGGCTTTAACACATGAGGGTGAATGAGGAAAAATCAGGTTTGACTCTGTGTGTCAAACAAAAACAGGGAAAATATGTTACTAGCAACACAATCAGACATCTTCTTAAATAGAAATATTTTTATTGGGTTTGCACAGAAATAAAAAAGATATAAAAACATAAGAAATCCCCGTAGTGTTCTCATGAGCTTACTGCTGTCACAGTGTTTGTTTAACTTTAGCAAGCAAATGCATTCCAGTCAGCATTTGCAAATATCAGGTGCAACAGGATATTTAACTACAAACATTTACATTCTCCATAAAACAGTACTTTTTTCTTGTATACAAAGAGCTGTACACGTAATCACAGTTCATCTCATTCAAATAAAATACATTTTACATCTTTAACATTCAAACACTTACATGTGCGCAATATAATGCAAATATTTATCAAATAAAACAAGAAAAACCTGACAAATTGAGGTCATTCACATGAGTATGTGGGCATGTGGCTTCCTATTTAACTTTAAACCTCCTGCTCAACCATTTGGTAGAGCACATTTTTCACTCTTTGGGCTTAGGCTATAGCAGGAGTTTTTACTTTTTTTTATTTCACACTTTTAGCATTAAGTGTCACCCCAGTTTTCTGTGAAATAAGGATTAATTCAGGTTATTATTTCTAAAAAAAACAACAACACAAAAATAAAATCAAAGAATTATTTTCTAGGCGTAGATCATAAAAGATCAATGATGATTCACAGACAAAAACATGAGATTGTCTCATAGACAGATATGGGTCAATAACTAGATGATAATTCATAAAAAAAAGTCCAGACAGTTTGTGTTTGCTCTGCGATCAGAGCACTGAAAACATCTCGAGGGAAACTGGATCAACGTAGGTCGTCCCCGACTCCACGGGATCCTGGTCATAAAGAAACTGTCTGAACACGTTGAATACCATCTCCCTGCTCAGAGTGAACTTCTTTAGCTCTTCCAGGTGCTCTTCCGGGAACATAAAAGTCAGCCGGTACTCGAAGACGACCGAGTCGTTCCTGAAAAGAGAATGAAACGGTTATCAAGTGAAGCACATAGTAATAATAAACATAATAAAACCTCCGGCGGGGGCGTGTGTTTACCTGACAGCGTGCACCTCAGCGTGAGAGAAGTAGCGCCCCAGCGCCGGGGAGGATCTGTACAGGCCGGCCAGCTGGGTGTGGCAGGAGGAAAAATGCAAACAATGAGAAAGAATAGCTTTTACCCTCACTTTGGAGTTTCATTCTGCTCCTCTCTAAACTCCTCATCTACATTCTCCAACTTCGGTTTAAACTCCTCTGTGCAACTCGCTGTATATTTTTTGTGTAACCACGGTGATCTTAGCGTTAAGTTAAGAGTTTTATGTGCAAACAACCTGGTCTTACTGTGTCTTTTTCACATAATTACTCATGTTTACCATTAGAAACATAGCACCCAAGAATTATTTAGGTGTTTAAATCATCAGTCTGTTATTTAGGTGGATTAGTTCATATAAAAGTCTTGTGGTAGTTTGATTCCTTTTGTTAATCTTCGGTTGCATTAAGATACTGAAGGAAAGACTATGTTTTCATAAGTTTAGACAAAACATTTTCCACCCACAGATAACAGTTTTCTCCCCCTTACCCGCCCCCATGCTGCACTGTGATCTTACTAAAGTAAATCTGACAGAAATAAACATAAAGATAGTCAATTTTTTACTTTTTTCTTTTACATTCCTGCTTGGAATGGGATGTAGGGGTTAGCATTTGTTGAAAACTTTATGGATAGATGTCACTAGGCCATGCACACTTCTATTGATCTAGTTAACAGTCTAAAAAATGGAAAACATGTTAAAAAATAATCTCTTTTCATTTAGCAAGTTACTAACCTTTTTAGTCATGTCAAAGGCCTTGTGGTATAAAATATGTAACACTCAAGGCATTCTAGCGAGAATTTATCAGACATCCTGCAGCTATTTGCAAAGTAGATAAGTCATGCTTTTTTAAACATTATCAGTAATTATTACTGAGCATTAGGAGATATAAAAGTGACTTCTAAATATGGGTTCAAATTTCAAATTTATGAACACATCATTTGAAATGCAGGAAAGACTTTACCTTTTCCTGGAGCTCCAGAGATACTTGACTCTCAGTGGAAGAGAGGTTGAGCAATTTGAAGCTTCCATTAAAATATTGAGGAGTTTTAAACAATGAAAGGTCGAACTCCTCATCTTCATCCGACTGGATAGCTGTTGGAAAACAAAAAAAAAACTTAAAAAAGTCAATTTTACAAAGAAAAATTTCATGTTTTAGGATCAAGTGTAACTTGCTGCATATAACAGAAAAAATAAAACCTTTTTTTCAAAATAATGTACACTTAATTGTGTTTTATGAAAAAAGGATTAAAAGGGAAATGAGTTTGCCTAAAAGTAGCAGTAATAAAACACAAATGTTCATTAATAGAGTTTACCTGAGCACGAAGCCAAAGAGATTAAAATCACCGCGAGGATGAGGAGAAAGATGAAAACAATAACCATCCATAGTCTCACTCTCCAGAAGACTATTTCCTGCAGTTGCTCCCTTACCCTGGAAACAGAATAACCCTGAAAGCACGATAAAATGGACCAGTTAAGATGTTGTCAGAGTCTGTGAGGAAACAGCAAAAGAGGAACGTCTGTACCTGGTGAAACTTATGTTCCTCCCCCCCGTTTCTCTGGCTGTCGGCTCTGTGGTCACTGCCCACCGCCGTCCCGTTACTTCTGCCAGCCTGAAAGAAAAAGGACCAAACAGGTCTCTAACATCAATATCTAATCATTCAAGTAAGACATACTTATCATTCATGGACAGTTTGTCACAGCAACAGAGTTTCTTCTTTCTCTTTCAAAGTTACATGTTGTACGTTTTGTTTTCTGAACAACAGTCACATGCTGGAGAAAATATGTGGGCTGAATCTAAAGTAGGAGACCAAAGGAAACACCTGAAAAACTAGATCCCAACACGGATAAACGCTCACCGGCAGAAAGGTGTCCGTCTCTGCTGGATCCCGTCTCTCTGTGACCACTCCATCCAGGCCTGCGCCCTCCTGGGAGTCCATGCAATCACAAAAGAAAGCAGTTCAACACGATATTTCTGAAGATTTAAAACAGTAGGAGATAAATACACTTAGTATGAAAGTTTACTATTATGTCAAGGAATTGCTGAATAGATAGCTTTCTGAATTTAAGCTGCTAACCCAGCGTCACAGATTTGAATGGCACTTTATGCAAGCGCCATTTAAGGAGATCTTATCCATGGACAAACACCAGGGTTGAATATTAATCCCCGGGGCTTTTCCTAAACACTTCAGCTTCATTGCCTTCCAGCTGGGGTTACTGGAAGTGCTGTGGACTGCTGGCATTCAGCTCATATCCAGCCACAACAGACTGCCACTTCCATAGAAACTGATACTGGCGCACCTTTAATTCCCTATCTGCACAGAAAGGGAGCCTTAGAATTAAACCTACTTTAAAATAACTACTCTTTATTCCTGTCAGACAAACCCAAGAGTTGGTGATTATATTTGGGCTTATACATTAGCTGAAATATAACATAAAAATAGCAGTATTTCTCACATTAACCATGTCAGTAAGTTAAAAGCTGCTTCTCACCACATCTATCTCGGTCATCTGTGCGTCCATACCGGCAGAAGACGTGGGAACCCGGAAGCTCCGTTCAGAAGTTGATTATTAAGAAATTAATCGTCCGCAAGAGCGCACACAGACCCCGGAGGTCAAAGTCCCTCAAGACAGCCGCCTGTCGTCTTCCTCTTGTCTTATTTCTCGAAAAAAAAAAAACACCTAAGAAAACGCGACCATTGCGCGTAAAGTGGATCCGCTCCAGGTTTCGGTGGAGTGGAAGAACTGGTTGAGTTGGAGGCGGTGCCGAGGAGAAATAAGAATTGCAATAAACCGAGGAGGACTGACAAAACTTGTCACCTCAGTGACTAAAAGCTCCGAGTTATGCTCATTCCCCATCATCCCCCCCATGTGGTGAAATGTGAGCCGGTTTTCCCAGAAGTGTGCCGTCGGTGTTACACTTAAATACGCAATATTTAATTACTCAGACAACTGGGGATGGGGTTTTTTTAGCTGTAAAAATTTATGTTTGATAGATAAAAACAAGTGCATTTGACCCAGTGCGTCTTTTTCTAGATGGAAACGCCCCCCTTTCATGAATTGAACTTATTAAAATCCTACAAGAGAAGTACAAGATCAGTTTTATTGTAGTCTTTCTTTTTAATAAATGCTGTGTTTATAGTTCACCAACAGAGGCCCACACAGCTGAAGCTTTCCAGGCACAGATGACCACAAGTAAACATATTGTAAATGATCTTTATATGAACATTCAGTATGTTTAATGTCTTCTTTTGCATTCACATTTTCTCAGGTGCAAACCTCTGACAAAGGAGGTCTGGTCTTAGAACACCATTGATATGAATAATCTGGGACTTCTTCATTTGTAAAGGAGCTTCCTGATGTGTTTATGTATGAATGACCTGCCTTCTTTGGTTGGTTTGATTGATGATCCCTACTTGCATCAGCATTATTCTGCAGTTTGACTCAAGCAACATATAAAAATAGGTTTTCTTCACATACTGGGAAAGCGGTTTATTCTAACTTTCTTGAGGATATGAGCCACTACACAGTAGCACTATGGCCTTTATATTTGCATACAAAACAAAATGAAATATTCTTCATCAATAACGTGAAACTTGCGATCTGACTCAGAGTGATTGTTTATGATATCTGACATATATCTACAAACATTTAACTAAGATACTCAGATTTTTGCCTTTTGCCGGCCTGTCATTCAGCTATTATCAGTGTTGTGGGACACAGACTCCTGTCGTGGAAACGTGCTCTTAAAAAAGTCTTTGATTTGATAAAAATAGGAGGGAGACTGGGTGTGATGGGACAGAAGGAGAGGAAGTCTCTGTGATCGTGCTCATTCCATGAGTGGAAACAAAAGCTTGTTCTAACTGTCCACTGTTCACAGGGCAGTTCTATGAGCGGCCAGCAGAGGGCGACAGAGGGCCGGGGAGTAGCAGGAACCAGGGCCTTTCAGTCTGATTTAATCAAACAGGAGTTTGTTTTAGTGAAAGCCATGCTTTTTTTGTCATTAATTTACACCTTCACAGGTCACACTCCATCATTTTCTCTGCAGTGTGTCTCCAAACACGTCTGGCCCTCGTCTGCCTTAACCTCATGCTCTGTTTTCTCAGCTTCTGGCTTCGGTTCCTCCTCAAACGCTTCGGCTTTTGGCTCTTCCTGCTCTAGATGAGCCTTTTCAACAGGGTCAGACCGTACATCGGCCTCTAGCTTTCCACAGTCCGCATCCTTGTTTTGGGCTCCTCTCTGACCGCCCCGCTGCCCGGACTCAGCCTCCTCCATCACGTCGTCAAAAACCTGCTCCCTGTTCCCGTTTTCTTTGGGGGCTTGCAGTTCACATGGAGACAGATCGCTCCCGGCCGCTCCCACCTCCTCTCCCGCTGACCTCCTGTGCTGCCTCGTGGGCGGACGCCTCTTGAATGATAATCGTGCGCGGGTCTGCGTGGAACAGATGAGAACAGAACAGTAAGACGGTTTGGCCAACGTTTAAGAGCAGTTTTCATCATCCGTCTCGTTTTGTTCGATAACTTCTGGTGACGGTTTCAATCTAACTGGTGTTTAGTTTAGTTTAGTTTTATTAGGATCCCCATTAGCTGCCAAATAAATGGCCACTACTCTTCCTGGGGTCCTCACATGAAGAAATTATATAACATTATAAACAGATCATAAAAAATAAAAAATAAAAATCACAGTAGGAAATAATAAAAACATAAACAATAGTAAACTATACAACATATACACACAGGTCAGTTCATCTTATCATTTGCAGTAGTTCTGAAGACACAATATTTTTGAAGCTTGTTCTGTTCTTAACTGTTCGTGTGGTTATTGGCAGTGAAATATGGCTCTATAATGGAGTGTGGATTTTAGAGAGTTTGTTCTGGGTCGAGGGACATCTAACTGGTGTTTGCGTGAGAACATCAAACAAATGGTAAGCGGGGACTCTAACTAGGCTAAGGGGATTTGCATCTTTAATCCGCCATCTTGCACCAGCTTATCTCAAAACAGAAGATGCACAATGTCCAGTGAGGAACGCGTCAGCGTGTGCATGTGCCGGGCTGTGATGTCATAGCTCACTCGGCCGGTAGCGTGAGAAAGACTTTAGAGGCTTCAATGTGACTGAAGCACACCGTTGTTTATCAGTGCCTTGTGGTAAAATCTTCCAATTCTGTCTAAGATGATTAAACTACTAATCAAATGCTTACTAAGGAGCTGTTAAGAGCTGTTAACCCTGTAATACCAAATGTATCATATTTGATTCATATGGTTTCTGAAATGTTTTGTGTCTGACTCCTTTTGCTTAATTTAATGGTAAAAACTTTGCTCAAAATCCTATTGTACACAATCAGATACACCTGATAACAGGGGGCAGAAGACTACACAAAAAATAATCTTGACTTATCGCGTAGTAATAAATCACTAATATCAAAAATGTATTTCTGTTTTTTCTTTTTACATATTTTGTTAAAAGGCTAAATAAGGAATTCAAACCAAAAAAAAGAAAAGAATTTTATGTTTTGTTTCTTGGATCGGGCTTTAAAGGGTTAACATTCACCAAAGGCGTGATATGACAAGAAGGTCCTGCACACAAAAACACAAAGGCAACAAAAAGCTTTTACCTTGTTGAAGCTGGGCAGAGGAGTGCCTTCGGGGGGGCTCTCGAAGCTGACGGGGTCCTCCTCTTCACTGGAGAGGCGAGGCAGGCGCAGGGTGGGGCTCAGGGGGCTCAGGGGGCTCAGGGGGCTCAGGGGCGTGGGGGGGGGCGACGGGGGGGCGGGCGGGGGCTTCACCTCCGGGCTCTTGGGGGAAGGCAGCAGGGTGGTGGGAGACAGGGCGAGGTTGGCCTGCAGAGACGAGGAGCCACACTGAAATACAAGTCCAGCCTCAAGCAGACCACCAGCAAGTTCATTTCTGATAGAAACAGCATCACCAAACACCAAGCCAAGCCTTTCAGCACAGGATGCAGAATATTATCAGAGTTTTTATCACCTGTAAAAGTCAAAATGGGGATAATTGCCACAAATTAAGCACCCTGTCTCCTTTAAATAAATCCCATCCATATCAAGTATTTCACAGCTTTGCATGGCAGACATTTTTCTGGATACACCTGCCACCATCTTGTTTTCTCATTGGAAAACTCCAAATACCCCGCGCCCACCCGGTTCATGTTCAGATTTCTGGATCTTACCTGTACAGGTGAGAAAAGAAAGAGGGAAAACCGGCAGCCCTTTTGTCCCATGGCTGCCGTCTGTATTAACCGCTAACTAAAGGACCCAGAGTGACGGGTTAGAGCCTCACAAGAGCCTCTGTAGTGCTTCATCCCATTAGCTCGTTAATCTGAGCCGATTGTGGCATCATGGAGGCCCCTCCCCTCTCCGCTCTGCATGTGACACCAGCACCAGCACAACAGTGGGGGGCACTAAAGATTCACATACTGTACCTTCACTTTCCCGGCTTTACAAACTCATATTAGATGCAAACAACACTGACAAAATAATGAAACAGGCCAGTTTTCCCAACCTGCAGTTTCTCGATGATGGCCGAGTTCTTCGTCCTTGTTTTAAAAGGACTTGATGACATGGGTTTCTGTAAAAAAAAAAAACAGGACATCTTACTAAAAATATACACACATTACAGAATGGAAATGCATTTGTTTCGTCAAATGTACATAAGTCCTGCCAAAACCTCATTTTTTTTCACGTTTCTAATCTAAACCCTCTACAGGCCTTTCAACACCTATTATAAATGTTTTGATCAGCTTTTTATTTGTTTCCTTAAACTGTGAAAGGTGCAAGTTTGCATCTTCTCACGTTAGATAAATGCTGGGTGAGCAAACTGAGTTATAATTATTCGTAATCTCTTCTTTTTTCTTCACATTTGAATGTTTTATTCATGCCACCTTGCAGTCCATTGTGTATTTCTTGTCTATACAGTCGTTCTTTAGAAATATGTCTTAAACTTATGTGCTCCATGTTTTCAAATGAAGCCAAAGCTCAGGATTGTACAACAGTAAGTCACTTGTTGGCATTCAGGGCAGACAATGCAAAGGAAAGGCAGCATTTTCCATGTTTTTTCCATAAAAACAATAAAAACTGTAGATTTTGCTGTACATATAAAGGCTGACATGAAAATGAAACAAATCCTAGCGTGCTCTCTGGGGACTTCCCTAAAATCTGAAGGACCAAAAAGTACCAAAAGCTCACAAGAAAAATACAATTGCTCACATCCGACTCTCCAATATCGTTAGTTTGATTTTGCAACTTCAGGGAGCACGGAGGTCTTCTTCGAAATGACGACTGAAAAGGAAAAGGAAGGGGGAGAACAAAAGTTTCAAGTTTTTACTAACCATTCAATATAACACGTACATGTAATATACCTTTTGATATGTGAGTGAGCACTTTATGAGACATTTACCTCATCATTTGAGTTCGGCATTGGGAGAATATGACCCTTTAACTTTCCGGCCAGTTCAGCCACGGACGGCTTGGATGGAGAATCCTTCTGGAAGAACACAAAACAAGTTAACCAAACACAAATACAACCTAATGTTGCATTTGATCAAAAGCAATTGTGTCAAAAAACTGTAATGCTCAACCGTAGGCCAAATTTGTATTATGATAAAATCAAGCAAAACGTATTCTGTGTTTGACATCCATTATTTCATTCTTCGTGAAGACTGTGACGCCAATTATCTACACAACAAAAAACCCATCAAATCTAAATATCATCACAGTCACATGTGGTTTGCTAAGTTTAAAACATTAGTATTAAAAGCTGCAGAGCACCAATGACTTTATGAGATCAACATAATGTTTGATTTATTTCCCCTAAAGTGGAAAACGGTGGATCTTTTTAGAGCGGAGGGATCCCACCAGCATGTCTGGGACAGGAAGTGAGTCCCTGTCCAGCAGCTGGTCAGCATCAGGCTGCCCGGGTCCCTGTTGCTTTATCCTGTTATCACTACTTGGCCCTTTTTACTTTCTGTCTCTCACACTATTCCCATGACGATAGTTGCTCAGCCCTCCTCCGCACTTCCCTTTCATGACCCGTAACTCACTCCACATATCTGCAGGCTAAGTGATAAGTCGGCGTCAGAGGAGAACTAACAAGACTGGAAAAAAAAACACCGCAGGGTTGAATTTTTGGGGGTTTTCAGGTTAGTTTTTGCTTGTTTTGACTGCTAATGGGTCGTGGCCTTTGTTTTTGTATGTTTTCAGGCTGAGATGTGCCAGGACTGATCCAGGACGGAGCCGTTTAACGATTTGCATCTCAGGCTCTGCGGGTGGGGGCTCCACCCTCTCCCTCTCTGGCTTCCACCCTACATCACATTTCCATCTTTCTTTTATTGACCACTAAAAGCTCACGCGTCTTCCCCCAGCTGCCAGTTCTGTCACGTTTCCTGGGTGTGCACTCCCAGTTCCCCCCGTTCCCACCCGCCTCCCCTCGGCTCGTTCTGGCCCCCCGCCTGTGAAAACACACACAGCTCCCAATGCGTCACAGATACACATACCACATGTTAATCACATGCTTCATTTTCCCTTTCCCCCCCTTGTTCTCAACATGACCTCACCGTCTTGTTCCCTCCACCCTGCTTTGACACTCACTATCCACTCACCAGCCCCCTTTTTCCTGCGCGCTCCTTTCTGATAAACAGCAATTACCAGAGACCACCCATCCACCTCTTTATTATTTTCTAACCTCTAATTGTTAACTCTTTCCTGTCCTTTAAAAAATACCCGCCCCTTCCAGAGCGAACTGGAGTCACAACAGTGCGAGTAGAGGAAGCCGGGCTCTTTGTTTGAGCTGCTGCTCAGATGTTTTGGGTGAGGAAAGCTTGTTCTCCACTATTCCACTAAACACGCCGCAGCCTCCTTCTGGGTTTCGCTTCCACGATTTCGGGGGAAATATTTGATCGGTCATCAGCTACTCGGGGCGGATGATTTAAGGCGTGACGTGAAAATTAACTAAAGCTGAATCATCTCAGCACAATTCACTTGGATCTTTCATATTTTCCTTGTTTCTTTCAACAGTGAATTGCATTTTTAATGATCCTGCAAAGCTGAAGGAGAAGGATGTGTGTGATCTGATGTAACCTACCAATGACAGACAGTTACAGTGGGGGAAATAAGTATTTGACCCCTTGCTGATTTTGCAGGTTTGCCCACTTACAAAGAATGCAACCATCTATAACTTTAATCATATGTACATTCTAACAGTGAAAGACAGAATCCCAAAGAAAATTCCAGAAAATCACAGTATATGAATTTATAAAAATTGATAAGCATCTGATGAGGAAAAATAAGCATTCTTTGTAAGTGGGCAAACCTGCAAAATAAGCAAGGGGTCAAATACTTATTTCCCCCACTGTATAATGCATACAGGTGTTAATAATTCAAAAATTTCAAAATCCTTCCATGCATTTTCTATACAGCTAGTTTCCAACAAATGTATAAATGTCCAATAAATATAACGACTAACAATGACTTCAGACCAGTGAAGAATGTATCATATTCTAACCGATTTTCTACTCTTTTTCCTTTAAAGAGTTCAGTGTTTGGTCAAAACACTTATCAATATAGAGCAATATCACACAGATCCACACAAGTTTCTTATCTGTACTACACATGCTTCGGTCAGCTGGGACCCCACGCTCAGCCCTGAAAGAGTGGGAAACTATGTTTCTGTGTAGGAGAGAGCAGGGCAAACTATTTTTGGGGCTCTAGTCCTGGGAAAAAGCCCCAGAGCTGTTCAGCGTCTGGATCACAGCTCTGTTCTGAAGCCTCTGGGCTCCTCAGAGAGTCCCTGGATACACCAGACCACATCGGAAGCGTACTGTAATCGAGCATACGCAGCAATTGAGCATGTCAAAACAAGAAAATGACAAAAAAAAAGCTTCCTAAAGCAGTGCTGTAACATGGGATTGAAGTTTTCAACCGATCAGGCCTGAATTAAAAGAAAAGAAAAAATCAAAACAAGCATTATCAGGAAACTCTGACATCTCCAAAGAAAAGCCAACTTACTCTTACAAAATTCTGCTTTAAGCAAACAGCACTCAGTATACTCTTATAACCATACAGCCAACTAACAGCTGTTATTTATGATAAATAGTACATCTAAAATCCCCAAACTAGTCAAGAAAAACACTGATTTATGCATAATGAAGTTAAGCTACATTTAAATTAAACGCACACGTCAATGACTGCATTATGCTGCTTTATCTTAAACAAGATAACTTGTAGTGTTTCAGAGGACAAAAAATAACTTAACTTGCTCAATATGTAAACAATACCTGCACAGATATCTGTGTTTGTGGAGATGAAAACTCTACAAGTGGCTGCAGATTAAGACACAAGGTTTACTGTTTATTATGTATAATGAAGTTAAGCTACATTTAAATTAAACGCACACGTCAATGACTGCATGCAGTCTCTGCTTTATCTTAAACAAGATAACTTGTAGTGTTTCAGAGGACAAAAAATTACTTAATAACTTGCTCAATATGTAAATAATACCTGCACTGATATCTGTTTGTTGAGATGAAAACCCTAAAAAAGTGGCTGCAGATTAGGACACAAGGTTTACTGTACGACCAGAAGAGACACAGACCAATCCCACAAAGCCTGTTTTTGTCTTTCCCTTTGATTCCCATCTCTAGAGGCAGGAGAGAGGAGGCACATGACATTGGAGCCAGTCAATTTCTAACATATTGCTTGAGGTTGCAACAGTAATCGGAGAGCAGCAGATCTTGTGATCTTTCACAGAGAAGAAGATGCTGTTGGACTAAAGCTCTTAAACCCCACGGTAAAAAAAAAAAAAAAAGCAGACTTCAACAAGTTCTCTCAGTGTTCTGGCTTAAAGTCTGCAGACTTTGTTTTCACAAATCAGCAAGTTGTGCCAGGAGAAAACCGCCACAGTGAGCGGCTCTCCTCCGCTTCCACTTGTTCAGCTGCGAAAAAAAAGAAGAAGCAAAACAGGCGTTTTCATGCCTGCTCCCTTTCCAGGAAAACATTATGTGTTTTTAGAGCCTGACTTCATCTGAATATCTCACTTTTCCACTGCTCGGACCAGCACTGATTTTTCTGTTCTCACATGCGATGTGGTCCTGCACCAGACCTATGAGGTAAACCCACCCAGAGCGGGTGAGGCCTCAGGGGGGCGGGAGGCCTGCTGGAACAGGCTGGTACATGTTTACCAGCCAGCCAAATACGCAAGAAAACTAACACTCACACACCAGGAAGATTAAGATTCTGTTGCACTGACAAAAGACAGCTGCGGGTAAAGTTATGTCACACAGAAATGCAAGACGGGATTCTGCTTTTCCTTAATTAGGTTAAATTCCTAAATGCAGGTGTTCCAAAGTAACTTTTAAACTTTTTAAACCTAAGTTTGTCAGGAAAAGACGTGGAACATTTGTAAATGGAGGGCAGAATTCATTGTAATATTTAATGTAATATTTGTATATAGCACCAGTCTGCAGAGTGAATGATGAGAACCAGTAGTTGGGTGGATCCAAACAGAGGGCATCGCCTCCTTAAAAATGTTTTAAGTGAGACTTAAAGATTCCACGTGATGTTGTGGCATTAATCCATCAACAAAAATTATCCGGAAAGCTAATCGAATCTTGGCTTTAAGGCAAACTAGTACAAAGAAACATGCAAAGACTTCATTATGCTGAATATCATAGCTCTAAAGTTCCTGCAGACTGTCACAAGATCAGGAATCTTATCTGTGTTGGTGCACAAGAGAGATCATTCTCTACTAAATTGCCAATGAGAAAAAAAAACCTTTTGATTTTGTTTAATGTCGTCATGTTTAATCCGGTCAGTCAGCTCACAAAGACAGCTTTATCATGGTGTCTCCACCGTGGGGTTAAGGTTCCAGTTCCTCCTCTTTTGGGAGTTTTGGCCACTCTGAATTCACATCTCTGTCTCTTCCATGCTTGCAAGTACGAGATAAGATATGAGGGAGAGAATAGACTGGACAAGTTAGCCTAACACAAAACATCCTCCTCCAGTTCAAAGATCGTGTTTTCACCTCCTTCATTTTGTTCCAGGATGATCCAGGCGTCCCTTCACCCAGTTCCCTGCTCTGCCCCCCCACCACTAACAGCCATTCAGCTTCTCAGTGGGATTCAACCTGTCGTACATGTCAAAGTACTCTCAGACCCCGCTGAAAGTGGCATTTTTGGAGTAAAGGCAGCTTGCAGGATTCTTGTTTTCACTTCGTTATGCCAAAATAAGAAAAAAAGGATGGCCCGATGCCAAAATGAGAGGAGGCTGGTACAGCTGGTATGGGTTAAATGTTCTGAAAAATAAGCCATAAGCTCACCATGATGTTGGTTTTGGGTCATTTCTACTTCCGTGGCACGGCTCACTGTTTGAATTTATCTACAGGCTCGTCCTCCGTTTGGGACGTTACACGTTTAGACGTTTAACAAAAAGCAGGAACCTTCAGCCCGTTTGGTTTAACAGCTCTAACTTCATCAGACGGTGTGGACAGCTTCTACATTTTAAGAAACGCAGCTAATTCCTGAGAGCCAGCAGCATGGGTGGTTGAACTTCACCCGTCAGTGTGTGTGTTATCTACTCCCCACCGGCTGTATCTCCCCTCCCCACATTACTCTGACCGGAGAGAAGACTATCAGACTCCAGACAGCCGGACTCTAAGTGCACGGCATATACGGGCTAAGAGATATGCTAGTAGCAGGTGATGCTGTTTACAGGAGAAACAAGCACAACGACAAAAAGCTGTTGAGAGCTTATTGGGCTTTATGAATCTTTTGACCATTATCATTAGTATTAATATCATTGCCATTTTTCATCTAGTCTACGTGTTACTGTGTTGGCTGCCTCTCTCTTGCCCTCTCTCTCTCTCACCCCCCACCCTGAGCCATGGTTCTGCTCCAGGTTTCTGCCTGTTAAAAGGAAGTTTTTCCTTGCCTGTGTCGCCTAGTGCTTGCTCATGGTGGGAATTGTTGGGTTTCAGTAATTAACTTCAGAGTAGGGTCTGACCTGCTCTGTTTGGAAAGCGCTGTGAGACAACTGTTGTTGTGATGTGGCGCTATATAAATAAAATTGAATTGAATTGAATTGAATTGATGGGTCATAAAGGTCCAGATATCCTCAAAACAGCCCAAGCTGTCAGGACAATATGGAGGTGCCAAACACAGACCAACCCTTGCAACAAAGACAATGTTTCTATCCTACATCAAATAAAGGATCACAGGTTCCCCTCTGCTGGTATCACACTCTGGATTTCAGGGTACCAAGAGACCAAGTTTTCTAAGTATAGAAAGTTTTGTCTGTCAGTCACAAAATGCCCCAGGCTCCAAAGACACGGCAACTCTTTTCTACAAGAGGAAACATTTGCAAAGCCTTGTTTTTTATTCTTAAAACCAGCACATTCCCTCACAGTCTCACAGAATATTTTCACAGACTGTTTTATTTCATGCATGGTAAACAGTTAATCATAGGAAGACGGAGAAGTGCCACCAGTCGTCTACAAAGGGACGGCGTGCGGAGCATCTGACTAAAGCTTCCCACCAGAGACCCAAGTTGTTGTTTTTTCATTCTGGAAAAAGTTAAATGTGTTGCTCAACCATGAGAAACAAAGTTCAGAAGATGAAAACACCAGTTTTGTAATGCGAGCAGTGGGGATGTTTTGTGGCGCTTTCATCACAGAAGAAGACAGGAAAAATGACATGGAGTATGAAGATGGAGCTGATTGGTGTTGTTACCACGATCTGATCCTTTTTCATCAAAAGCAAAGTTTTTACAAACTATGAAGTAAGGAGACATCCTACTAAAAAATCTCCACCCTAAAATCTCTGACTTAGGCTGTCTTTTCTTTTGCTTTCCTTCATGATGACGCTTTACATGCTATCGGGGTTCACAGTGACTTTGTTGCTTTCTTTTGTGATTTTGGTGGGACGAGGAACTAATCCAGCTCTGAAACCAATCTAATACAATAAGGAAATACTAATAACATTGAATAAAGTTGCAAGAAGTGGTTCATAATCATATTCTGAGATGACGTCCAGCAGCGAAGCAAAAGGGGAAAAAACCAACTCATTAGCAAAGTGGCTGGTACAGACTGTTATTGCTCTATTAAGTTTACTATGCATTACATAACAAATGTGCTCAGCAGATGGTTGGCACGGCACTCCCAATGCCTCACTGCTCCAGCTGTGGGGTTGTTTTTCCATCAAAGGAAAACCACCAATCCACCAAAAAACACACACCCATACAGGGACGGTCCTCAGGTGGGTCGCGTGCCCCCGAATCTGCACCACTTTCCACTGTTAGGTCGTTTTATTCTGGTTCTAGCACGGGGAACATCAAATCTATACATTTCCAGGCATTAGTCTGCTCACAACTTATAATTTCCAATGAGGCTACAACCAAATAACTTTATTCTCCCAAAATAAGACACCATCGAAAAAATTATTTATTTTTAAATAGATCTGATGAGGAAAAAAGGAAAAAGGGAATAATTATTCCTGTTTAGATCAAAAGGTTTATTCAAAAAATGAAAACCTAATACATAGCTGAATTAACAGCGTTTACATTCTACTACTGCAGATTTTGGGGTTTTATTTTTGCTCCTGTCGTGTTTCTTTCTGTAAAACCTGGCACATTTACACAAATGCAGATATTACGTTACAGTGTATTGACGCCTCCTTTGGGTGGCGGTTAAATAAGATCCCACAAACAGAAGCATTTATTTAAGCCTCTCAGAGTAATAACATTCATTAAAAATGTTGTGAGCTCTTCCAGTGGAAATCCAAAGCTTTATTTTCACATTATACACCAGACATAAATCATCCCAGACTTTTTCATGACTGAACTCAACATCTCAATGAAACTGATGTTTAAACTTATGAGCTTTTGCTTTGGGCAGAGCTGACCAAACTCATGTGTTTGTTAGGTCTGAATCCTCCAGTTGAAAGCTCTGACTGTGTGGATAGCTTCCCCACCCCTGGTTCTGCTTTGAATTTACAAAAAGGGTGTTTCTCCATTTCCCATATAACATTAAACCCTAACAAATTATGTTAAAAGACTGAAAGAGCTATTTAGATTTTTTTTTTTTTAGAAAAAGGGAGGAGGCCACAGATCTGTGAGCCAACGAAGCAGAAAAAAACACGAGCAGGACGCTTGGAAAAGACCTGTATCAGGCAGAAATATGCCTTTAATTTCTAACTAAAGACAGTCTGGCTTGTGCGACTGACCTGGGTGTCTAAAAAGGACTCACTAATGGCATTCACTGCACACATTTGCAGAACACAAACTGACTCGTGACCGATGGGCTCCGCTTCCTTCCCTGTACACTGTGGTCACTTGTTGTGAAATTTGCCTGAAACATAACAAGCCACCATGATAAGAAAAGCAAACTCCTGCTGCCTCTGATTAATCATGTGGCCCCTGTGTGTACGTGTGATTGTGCGTCTGAGCTTTGTGTTGGCACAACAAAGTCAACCTTTTAAAGGAGTTTATGATGTGAACCGTGTTACTCTTAAAAGGTCAAACAGAGCTGACAGCTAGGTAGACTGTAAGGACAATAAATGCTCATGAAAAAACCTCCAGCTTTGGTCTTTGTGACATAAAAATGAAATTAAAAAAACACTTAAAAGTGGCTCAGACAAACCACAGTCTGTCCAGGATCATTCCAACGATAACACACATCTTTAGAAACAGTCCCCACTAAGTGTCTGTGATGTAATGCTTCAGTTTCAGCCTCACTATGGAAACACTAAACCATCACAAATGTCAAAAGCATCTGGGTAACAGGAACAGCCCGCATCACACAAGTAGCGCAGTTAGTTCCTACCTCCATCCCGGGAAGGGTCGGTGCTCCTGCCTTCTCCCGCTGCAGCTGTGTGGGGGACCCGTGAGGAGTGGAGCCCGTAGGAGACCCGGGCCAGCTCTGTGTTTATATCTGGAGCCAAAGCGGCCTCACGCACGCGGAGGAGGAGCGGAGCGCACCGCTTTTACGCGCAGAGCCCCTCCAGTCAAGTTGCTCAAGTTATGAAAAACTAGCCAGCTTCTCGGGAACTACAAAATAAAACTTCCTCTCACACTTCCCTTTGTGGAGTTTACACGGCATTTTGCAGGCTGTGACATTAGTTTTAGCCATTAGACTCAAGGATTATGGAAAATAATCTGTATATGATGATAAAAAAAGTCTTAAAATGTCCATTTCCCTCCTAATACCAATTATGTTTAAATCTTTTATTCTGTCAGCTTTTTTCTTGGTTCCTCTCTAACTGTTCAAGTTAATCTATCTTTAAAGGCCTCTTTTCTCCATAGATTTTCCTAAAACTCCTCTATTATCTAATATTATAAAATGCTAAAATGGTCATTCTGTCCAGAAAAACGTGACACAATGTTAAAAAGCTGGCCCTCCTGCCTCGTTCTGCTTTACCTGTTTTACATGAGTAGATTCTTTATTATTTTTCTCATTTAGTGTAAAGTCTCTTAATCTGTCAACTGTGAGGAAACATAGAAATGCAGATCTGCTGGCAGAACTCTGAATGACCATATACAGCCCTGAGGTGCAGGAAAATAAGGTTAAATTGGCCTCGCACAAATCCTGGATACAATTTTAAAGCATCATGTTTGTCAAAAAACACCCTCATCCCAAAAGAGACAGAGACATCTCTTTTCCTTCTGTTTTCTGTTTTGAGAGATTTGACACAGGCTGATTTTAAGACTTCCGAGTTGGTCTCTTCTTTACCAAATCTTAAACACACTTACAAACAAGCCATTTATTGTTGCCAAGTAGATTTAAACCAGCCTTCAAACACCAGGAATCTCCGCTGACTTGCAGATAGATAGAGAGCTTTGGTTCCTCTCCATGCAGCGAGGCTCATTAAACAGTGTAAGCTGGGTACTAAAAGCTTTCCAAAATGAGGCGATAAGCAATTCCAAAAAGAAGCTCATTATTGTGATCGTGGTAATTACAGAGCTGCTGCGCCTGGTGATTTTTAAAAGCCAAACACATTTGCTTCTGTCTTTTTTGTCACTTAGTTCTGCAACAAGAGCCCAGAGTTCCACAGCACTGAAATACGACTACAAACGGAGGCTTTTTACCAAGCACACACACACTTTCACACACTGTCACACCCCCGATAGGCGTGAAGCCAAATCATCCACGCTCCCGTTTACTGTCTCTTAGCTGTGAACAAGCAGGTTTGAAATCACTTCATAGGCAGCTGGGGTCTTTGGGGTGGAGGACAAAGTGGAGGAGGTGGTATGATGTTCACTCAGAATTTGGAAAACAGAGGTGACCTGAACAACCTCAGTTATTAAAGTCACACTTATTGACCCAAACAGAAAGTTTATCTTCATTATTTATTCTCTGACATGATGCTCATTTAAGCTATTGTACATATCTTGAATATATATTTTTAAAAGCCTTCTGTATAAACTAAGCCCATAGTCAATGCTGAGTTTTTGTTGGAAAGCCAGAGATGGCTCCCCCTTGTGGTAAATAAAATAATTACACTCCAAATGTAGAAAACCTCCCCAGGTGTCACATGGAAAAGGGTTTAGAGAGGAGGTGTGTGTAAGTGTGAGCAGAATACTATTTCAAATGTATGTTAATGAAATCTGAATAACTTCTCCCTCCCCCCACAACACCATCTCTGCTCATTTATTCCCATTTTGAACACAACCGGCGTGGTGGTGAAGCGTCATGTTTGTGACGAACGTTAAGCTAAATAGGATGTCGTTTCTCAGGGAGGCAGCACACACACAGACACACACACACCTGCCAGACCTGTCACTGAAAATAGGAGTTTTTCTGTCCATAGAGTAGCAATTACTCATGGTTTTCAGTATATTTAATGTCCTATTGATATATAAGAGATGTGAAGAAGAGCAGAGCTGAAATGTGCAGCGTTTTTTAATCATTGCTATCTCTCAGTGCAGAATTTCTGAGATTTAAAGAGGGGGGGGAACAAGTGTTGACAGCTCTTGACAAACTGCTCTCAGCAACTCTTTTTATTATCACTCAAGAGAAAAAACAAAGAGGAGTCCCACTGCTTGTTGATCTTTCCCTCAGGTGAAGGCAGGATGGTCTGTGGGACACAAGCTTTCACAACCTGCCTCATCTCTTCTGTTGAGGAGATGAATGGCCCCGCGAAAACACACACACACACACACACACACACACACACACACACACACACACACGCTCACACACACAAAGGCTTCTTGTGGGTGAGTCAGCTTGTCTCTTTGTATCTGTTCAGACCAAGGCCTGATGATTCATAGGTAAAATCATGACGGTTTCTTTTGAGGGATGAGTTGCACGATGAGCCAAACTTTCAGAGAAAAGGGTTTATTTTTGGCTTTTGTCAGGTTAGAACGTATAACTCTGACCTTACCTCTCTCGGAGGTAAGACAGGAGGTACAAACGTGTACAGATTTAAATCAGAGACCCCACATTTAAGAGAATTACACAGTGTGAGCAGGAGGAGGCAGTAAAGGTGATAAGCCCTGCTAAAGATGACAAGCTAATATTTTGTTTCTCTTTGAAAAGCACTTAGAGCAGCCATTACTTTGAATATGGTGATGCAGGGGCGCTGGCTGCCGGCGTAAATCTAACTCAGGGCCCGTTTAATATAATGACCATGTCGGATTACGGCTGACGGCCGGCACGTACGCAGACCCGGAACCTCCGGGCTCAGCTGGCCGAGCCCAGACACGCGCAAAAAGAGGCCCGTTTTCCTCTAATCTGCTTTGTGTATCCGTTAAAACACGCACAGACACACACCAACTGAACCTCCACTTATTCAGATCATCACCAGCAACAGCGGACTGCTTAAACATTATGATAACAGCAGTTTAACACACTTTAATACAAACCCAAACCCTCGGCTTACAACAGTCAAAAGATAACCTAAGGAAATAAATACATCCACATACAGTGGGGGAAATAAGTATTTGACCCCTTGCTGATTTTGCAGCTTCGCCCACTTACAAAGAATGCTTATTTTTCCTCATCAGATGTTTATCAATTTTTATAAATTCATATGATGTGATTTTCTGGAATTTTCTTTGGGATTCTGTCTTTCACTGTTAGAATGTACATATGATTAAAGTTATAGATCGTTGCATTCTTTGTAAGTGGGCAAACCGGCAAAATCAGCAAGGGGTCAAATACTTATTTCCCCCACTGTATGTGTGTCATTAACAAAGAGAGATTACTTGAATACCTGTCCAGCTAATTGTGAACATTGATCTGAAGGAAAATATCGCTACATGTGGTAAAAAAAAAATGATTTCAAGACAAACTAGGATGTGAAACAGCAATTATCCAAAGAACCTGACCCGGTTTTCATGTATCCTGTGGATCCCTGAGCCCTGTTTCCCCTCAAATACGATTGTAGCTGCACATCCTTCTAGCTCCTGACCCTTAACCCCTGAACTTTAGATTCAGACAGCGGTCAGACGCCGGTCAGGCTCTCGTTGAGCGTGGCGATGCGCTCCATGGCGCCGCGCGGCCTCTGGCCCCGGAGGACCCCCCCCGGCCGCTGGTGCAGGAGGAAGAGGCGGCGGGCGGCCGCCCGGTACTTCCTGGACATCAGGTTGTAGACGACGGGGTTGATGGAGGCGCTGAGGTAGCACAGCACCATGGACGCCATGTTGAAGTTCTGGCTCAGCATGGCCGTCTCGTAGTCGTCCACCTGGGCAAACAGGTTCCGGCCAATGTGGTAGGGCAGCCAGCAGATGATGAAGGCCAGCACCACCACCACTGACCGGAAGAAAAAGACAGGAGAAAGGAAATGAACATTGATTTTGATTTTAATTGTAAGTTTGACAGCATTCATGTAAGAAGACAAATAAGTCCCTGCTTTCTTAATAGTGACAAAACCCACCGTTAGCTGACCAATCAAAAAATGTCTTCATTATTCGTTGGTAAGAAATACAAGTGAATACAAGTCTTGACCTCACATAGAGGTTGCCAAGCAACAGAGGAGAAACTAAACTTGGCTCCGAAAAAGGAAAGAGGCACTGATGTTTTCCCACTTGGGTTTTTTGATCAAGGAACCTAAATATGAATCCATAGTTAATGTTACATCTGATGAACTGGTTTTCATGTTAAGTAGCTTAGTGTTAGTTTGGATTTTTCAGAAAAACACAACACAGCCTAAAAACATTTAAAACACTTTAGTCACATTAGTTGGATCAACAAATGTGTTATTCAAATCTCTCCGCATGAAATTAGCACTATTACTAATCTGGGTTTGAAGGGTGTGATCCTGTTCGTGCTCGACTCGCTTATAATGAGAAGATGATTACGAAAAAAAATCATCTCCAGGCTTTTGAAGTTCCCCGGGATGTGCCGTCACCTTTTGGCATTTCTTAATGACCCGCAGCAATTATAGAGACGTCTCCTGAAAGCCCCGAGCTCAAACTGCCCTGTTTCCAGGACCGGCCGAGGCTCAAAAAACCGTCTCCAACGCTGAAGTCACGAGACAATTAGAGGACCAACACGGCGGAGGGGGTCAGCCGAAGCAGGAAATGTGGCACCAGTCCAGCTAAGAACAAAGGTGGACATCAGTGTGAGCTAATTACTGAGTCACTGGTATTGATCAGGAAAGCCCCAGCAGATCAAACCACCATGGGTTGGTAACGGGGGGCAGTCGTTTCTTTAATTACAGAGGTGTGCGTGGGGCCTAATTATTTGTGGATTTAAGTAACAGTAAACACAGAGTGAGCAGACGGCCCCAGTTATTAGCGGGTAATTTATGAGAAATGTGACATCAGCAGATTGAAAATGGACCCGGGACTGTTGTAACGAGTAAAACCTCCATTAGGGATGATTTATGTCGACCCCTGATGGCAATCCAGTTTGGGATTTGGCAAATGAGAGCTATAAGTTTGACTGCGTGAGCCCTGTGCAGCGTCTGCTCGGCCCGTGAGCGAATTAATGCACGAT